GGCTCTGAGTTCAAGACCTATGACTGACAAAAAACATTAAAAATGTACCTTTTTTTTCTATTGTACTTTATGAAAGTCAACTTTCTTTTCTCAGATGTCCTAAATATTCTGTGTTCCATTAGCCTTAGCTAGGAAGCTAGATATTTGAATGTAACTCTGTGTGTTTGTGTGTATGAGTGCATATGGGACTCTACTGAGAACATAGTTTTCTTTTGCTGAAAAGGAAAAGCAGATAGGATCATTCTTTGGCGTCAGTGTGGCCAGTTCCCCCATATTTCTCCCAAGACTGTCAGTGACATAGTACAGACCATATTCAAATCCCTGAGAGAAGTTGAGAAATGTTTGAGGCCTGTGAGCCTGTTTGGATGCCTGCATGCTATCCTGTGGATGAAGAATGACCCTCCAATCCTCCATGGTTGGAGTGAAGGCCAGAGGGCAGGACTTGGGAAGGTGGTGTTTGGCTCCCAGTAAGCAGCACTTCTTTGGGTAGGGTTTTTCCCTGTGGAAGAGGCTGAGCTGTGACAGTAATTATAGTGGAAACAGACCAGGGCTTAATCTCTGTCTCTGTCCCATCCTGTCTGTCTGTCTGTCTGTCTGTCTGTCTGTCTGTCTGTCTGTCTATCTGTCTATCTCTCTCTCTCTCTCTCTCTCTCTCTCTCTCATCTCTTCTAACCCTAAGATCCCAGAGCTGGGTTGTATATCAGAAAAGATCCAGGATTGTTGCTCCTGGATTACCACGTGGACCTGGATATAATCTCTTCAAGGTCAGGGCACTCCAGATTTTATTGTACACTGGCAATGGTGGCCTCTGCTGAGCTACTCCTAAGCCAGGTCTCTGCTTCCTTCATCAAAGCCACCCTGAAAGTGAATCTGTTTCTTAACAAAGCTTGGAGGGCAGAACCACTGTGGAAGAACCTCTGATTGTCTACTCACACCCAAGGCTGCCACCTTGCCGGATACTAGGCAGTGGTCACAGTGGCTTTTTTTTTTTTTTTTTGTATCTTCAAATTTGTTAGCTGGTTTATGAAAAGAATAATGCATTTCCACTCCATACCATGCACAGAAATATATCTAAGTTGTTTAAATATTTAAATGGGAAAAAATAAAACTCGAGTACTTTTAGAAGTAACAGTAGGAGAATATCTTTATGATCTCCAGATAGGGAGAAGAGAATTTCTTTTCTTTTTTTTTGTGGTCATGGGGCTTGAACTCTTGGCCTGAAGCTGTCCCAGAACTCTTCAGCTCAAGGCTAATGCTCTACCACTTGAGCTACAGCACCACTTCCGGGCCCGGGCTGGCTTTGAACTTTGATCCTCAGATCTCAGCCTCCTGAGTAGTTAGGATTATAGGCGTGAGCCACTGGTGCCCGGCGAGAATTTCTTAAAACAACCAAAGCATAAACCACAAAGGAAGCCATTGATATATATATATTTTTTTACTATATTAAAATGTGAAACTTTAGCATAATAGAGAATACCGCAGCAAATTTAAAAGCAACACATTAGAAGATATTTGTATTGAGTATAACTTGAAAAGGGTTATTTCCTATAATTTAAAAGAAACTCTTTTAAGGACTAGGAGTGTAGCTCAGTGGAGAGTACTTGCCTAGCATGCACAAAGCCCAGTTCAATCCCAGCACTGTAAAAACAGCCAACTAGAGATCAAAGGAGAAAGAGAGGGAAAGAAGAAGAGAAGTCAAAGGATAGGAGTATACATTTCATAAGACATGCATTCCATAAGCACGAGGAGAAAGTTGCCCAGGCTTTTTAGTAGTCAGTGATGTTAAGTGATGTTGAGGATATTATGCTAAAAAAGACAAATACTGTTTGATTCTCCTTCTAGAGATAGAATAGATTTGCAGTTGGGGCCAGGGAGAGGGTACTGCATAGTTGTTTAATGAGTACCAGTTCAGTTCTGTAAGAGGGAGAATGTTGTGGTGATTACTTGCACAATCTTGTGCACATACGTAAAACTACTGAATTGTGTGCTCAGAGATGCTTAGCATGACATGAAGGGGAAAACATAGTTTGCCGTAAATAAAAATTGAAAAAAATGAGTGTGCAGTGTCCTCGGAGGGTATGTTGGTGGCAGTCACTCAGAATTCCGATGGCTGCTGTTGGCATAGCCACTTGGGAGAATAATTCAGTGTGGCTCCTAAGTGTGCGTGAAAATCCATATCCCAAAATTTGGCCTCATGCCTCCTTTAGATATTCAGAGAAGTTGTCACATGTGGGAGAATTGAAGGACAACTATGTGTGTGGTTGTGTTGTTTCTGTTATCAAAACAATGGCAGCAGAACGCCTGTCCTTGGGTCAGAGCAAAGAGTGTGCTATGTGTATTTGTGGAAATGCTTCTGCACCCACTGGACTGAATCTCAAAGGCAGCTTGTGTGCCATGAAGTCAGCAGGAGATTTACATCATGTGGTGAGGCTGCTGTGCCAGGCATGGGGCAGTTGTGCTGGGCATTGGCCGACCATTGGCTGAGATGAGAAGATAGGCCTCTTGGGCAAGCAGTATGCACTGTGGGCTTGCACAACCCCTAGTGTTTTGTCTCTTGGATAGAAATTCGAGATGTGATGAGATGTGAAGACTAATGCAAAGTTTTTAATTTTTTTTTTTTTACATTTTAAAAGAAGATTTTTAAAATGACAGTGCAGGGCTTAGACCCTGGGCTTCTTGCTGTATCTGAGTATACATTCTACTTCTATAATGAAGCACTTGTATAAAACAATTAAGGTCTAAGTGCCCAAGGAACCAGCCTATATAGCTTTTTACAGTGACTTCTGTCTTTGGTGTCCTTCTAAGATTTCCTTTGAAAGGAAGAGTTTATTAAAAAGGAAAAGAGGGCTGGGAAGTTGGCTCAGTGGTGAAATGCTTGCCTCGCATACATGAGGCTCTGGGTTCGATTCCTCAGCATCACATAAGCAGAAAAACGCTGGAAGTTGCACTGTGGCTCAAGTGGTAGGGCTCTAGTCTTGAGCTGAAGAGCTGAGGGACAGCACCCAGGCCCAGAGTTCAGGCCCCACAACCAACAAAAAATAAAAAAATAATAAAAATAAAAAGGAAAAGAGTGCTAGGTACCAGTGGCTCATACCTGTAACCCTAGCCATTCAGGAGACTGAGAGCTGAGGATCAGGGTTCAAAGCCAATAGCACACCACCAGACTTATCTCCAATTAACCACCAAAAAGCTGAACGTGAAGCTGTGGCTCCAGTGATAGAGCAACAGACTTGAGGAAGAAAGCTGAGGGACAGTACCCAGGCTCTGAGGTCAAGCTCCTATACCATCACAGAGAGAGGAAAGAGAGGGAGAAAGAGAGAAAGGGGAAATACAGGTGGATGGAGCCTGCTGTCTGAGATGGCCTGGCTCTCTGGAAGTCTGCGTTCATATCTAATCCTGAGTCTCCAGGGAATCACTTTACTTCTCTGCCTCTGTGGTTCTTTTTTGTTTGTCAGGTGCTCTTTGTGTTGTGTTTGTGCGGCTCTCTCTCCAGAGGGACTATTCCACCGTCCCAGGTTGTGGTTCTCTGGACTGCAATGATCTTGTGATAAGTCGAAGCCCACGCAGTGAACCAGGTGGAGGCCAGGCTGATGGGGCTGCCTGGCCTAAGCCAGCCTTTCCGGTTCTGTCCTGTCATTTGAGAAATAAGGAAACTGAAACCACAGAAGCAGTGACTCACCAAGCGCTCAGGTCCATCTGGGTGCCTAGAAAAGCCAGCAGGCCCCTGGCAGACACTTTACCCCCAGCTTGAACAGCACCACTCCACGTTAACCTTAGCTCCACCAATTTAGAGTCAGAGTCGCTCTTACTTAAAACTCCCTGATGTTCTTCCATCTCACGTAGAATGCACCTTCCCTGTGAGCCTTGGGGCTGTGCCCCCTCCTCCGTACCTCTGCTTGAACCTACTTACTTTTGGGCACCAGCTGCGGCTACTCTGCCCTAACTCTTCTTCCTCTTCCCAGGTACTCACCTGGTGGTGCTGCCTGCGGCCTTTGCGCTTGCCCTCCCCACTGCCATCAGTGCCTGGAGGTCTGCTTTGAGTGCATCCAGATTCAACGTCCAGTTCACCTGTGCAGCCCTTCCCTTTGCCACTCAGAACTCTCCCCTGCACAGTATCCAGTTTCGTTTATTTATTTATTTTTAATGATTGCTCTGAAATTATTGGACTTGATCTGTCTCTCTGTGTGTCCATCTCTTCCTGTTAGGATGAAGGGCCCCTAGGGCTCCCTCTGTTCTCTTTCTGTCCCACCCAGCTTTACCAGAAACTGAAACAGTACTAGGCATTTTGAGGGTTCCCAGCCCTACCTCACAGTTCTGTGATTTGTTAGGAGGATTCAGAAGACTGAGTGGTTCAGATTTACAACCATAGGACATACAACAGAGTCAACAAAGGGGAGGGGACATGAGGAGGGGCAGAGTCCAGAGGAAGCCAGGTGCACGTTTTCAAGAGTCCCCTTCCAGTGGAGTCCCAACAGGTGCTACCACAGCCTCCAGTGTGCACTGTGACATGCAGCCCCCATGGAGGCCCAGGGGACATCGGTGTCTGAGCTTTCACCCAGGGCTGGTCTATAAGTACTAGCCATTATAGCTCTCAGAAAAAGCGGGGGCGGTGTTCAGCACAGTCTAGGTGCTGTGGGCCAAGCTTATCACTTAGGCAAAAATTTCTATCCATTTAGAGAGCCATTCCCCATCAGGTTCCTCCAGCAGGCTTTGTGAAAGATGGAGGTGAAGTATCAGGCCTGCCATCTGAGCTTTCCTCTGCAGAACACTGCTTGTTTGTTTTGTGACAGTGAGGATTCTCTGTATAATAATAAGTATTTAAGAAAGGATGACTGTGTACAAACCAGCCCAGCGTGACTGTAGGGCATAGATCAGACTTCATGACCTCTTAGGACCCAAGAGTGACCCTTTGCCTGCTCACCACCAGCACCCACAGACCAAGAAGCAGAGGGAGAGGTCTGCCCCACCCCTTAGTAAACAGGATTCCCCCCCGATCCCAGGTACTAAAGCACAACGGGTCATCAGAGATCCTGAACAAGTTGTACGACACGGCCATGGACAAGCTGGAGGTGGTCAAGAAGGACTATGATGCCCTGCGGAAGCGGTACAGCGAGAAGGTCGCCATCCACAACTCAGACCTGAGCCGCCTGGAGCAGCTGGGGGAGGAGAACCAGCGCCTGCTGAAGCAGACAGAGATGCTGACCCAGCAGAGGGACACGGCCATCCAGCTCCAGCACCAGTGCGCCCTGTCACTGAGGAGGTAGGAGCTGAGGGCAGAGCTGGCTCAAAGGAGTGGCCTGAAAGCTGTTGGGTCCTGTCCTTTGTGGGCCTGCCATACCACTAATGCTCTCAGCCATAGCTAAGGAAAGCAGCAGCTCAGGTTCTTGTGTTTTTTTCTCTTTCTTTCTCTTTTTCTCTCTCTTGTCTCTTCCTTTCTCTCTTTCTATCTCTGTATTTCTTTCTCTCTCTTTTTTCTCTTTCTTTATCTCTTCTCTCTCTCTGCCTGCCTGCCTGTGTGCCTTCCCTCCCTCCCTCCCTCCCTCTCTTTTTCCCTTCCTTCCTTCCTTCCTTCCTTCCTTCCTTCCTTCCTTCCTTCCTTCCTTCCTTCCTTCCTTCCTTCCTTCCTTCCTTCCTTCCTTTCTTTCTTTCTTTCTTTCTTTCTTTCTTTCTTTCTTTCTTTCTTTCTTCCTCCCTCCCTCTCTCCCTCTCTCTTTCTCTCTTTCTCTTTTTCTTTCCTTCCTTCCTTCCTTCCTTCCTTCCTTCCTTCCTTCCTTCCTTCCTTCCTTCCTTCCTTCCTTCCTTCCTTCCTTCCTTCTTTCTTTCTTTTTCCCTCCCTCCCTCCCTCCCTCCCTCTCTTTCTCTTTCTTTCTTTCTTTCTTTTTTTTCTTTCTTTCTCTGGTACTTATGTTTTGCTCTGCCTTTGCATTCATGGCTGATGTTCTACCACTTCATTTATACCTCCAGTCCAGCTTTTTTTGTTGGTTAATTGAGGGTAGAGCCTTGGCAGACTTTTCTGACTGGGCTGGTTTCCAATAGAAATTCTTAGATCTCAGCTTCCTGAGTAGGTAGGATTAGAGGTATGAGCCACCAGCAGGAACATAGCTGTTTGGTATATGTTGAAACCTCATCAGAATTGGTGTGGTCAGGCAGACTTTGGGGAAACAGTGGACTAGAATGGCAGACTTCCTATGTGTAAGGCCTCCTGGCCTGGAACGACTGAGCTAACCTCCGAACCTTGGCCCATAGCCCACGTTGCAAGGCCGTGTCCTCCCTATCTGTGAAATGAGGTGCTCAGAACAAATCATCATTAAGGCCACTTTTATCCCTGTCCTGGGATTTTGGCATTGCTTTTGTTTTGTCTTGTTTCTCCCCCACCTCCCAAAATAATGTAGTTTGACTGTGGGAGAAATACACTATTATTTCTAGTAGAGCAGAGGGCATGCAGTCCTCAGTTCAACTTCTGGCATTTGTAAAAGGCTGAGAAAAATTCCAAGCCCAGGGCAGTAGTACTCTGTGACCGCTCTCCCTTGGGGGTACAGAGAATGACCTCACCCGAAACTTCATGCTTGACTGTCCAGCACAGTGGAGCTGGCAGGAGGCAGCAGTGCTGGCTGACGGCTGCCTGGATCTCCCTCCCTTCCATATCGTGGCTACTTTCCTCCCCCAGGTTCGAGGCAATCCACCATGAGCTAAATAAGGCCACAGCCCAGAACAAGGACCTGCAGTGGGAGATGGAGCTGTTGCAGTCAGAGCTGACAGAGCTGAGGACCACACAGGTGAAAACAGCCAAGGAGTCAGAGAAATACAAGGAGGAGCGCGATGCTGTGTACAGCGAGTATAAGCTCATCATGAGTGAGCGTGACCAGGTCATCTCTGAGCTGGACAAGCTACAGACTGAGGTGGAGCTGGCTGAGTCCAAGCTCAAGAGCAGCACATCTGAGAAGAAGGCAGCCAGTGAGGAGATGGAGGCCCTGCGGCAGGTAGGTGGCTGTTCAGCAGGGGAGGTAGCTGTAGAGGGCATGGGGCAGGGGAGTTGGCCTGTCAGGGATGGGAGGCTTCTCATTATAGGTCCAGCACCAGCTGGGTTGTCAGACACCAGCCAGTCACTGCTGAGCTCAGGCCCAGGGTGCAGCCTTAGCTGGGCTTTCAGGGACAGTTGGGAGGAGGGAGGTCTAGCTGTGGTCCTGGGCATCTCAGATGTGGTCATAGCCAAACCCATGCCTAACGTCGTCATGGATTGTCTGTGCTGCAAAGCAGTGATACTCCAGACTCCCTCATTGTGAAGATCCATTGTCCTGGTGGGATCTGAAGAACACTCTTAGGAGCCTGGGGATGTAGCTCAATGGTAGAACATTCGTTGGGCATACACACAGCCCTGGACTCTATTCTCAGCACTGCAAGAAAGCAGAGTAGAGCTTCTCAGTGACTTTTCCCCCCAGCTGTGCCTCTGATTGTGTCTGCTCTGGGAAGGGGCACTCAGGCTCTTCCTGGGCTGAGCTAGGGGCCTTTCTCCTACAGCCCTGGTCCAGGCTCAGGTAGCTGGGTCATTCAGTAGCATTGGGGCTGGGCCATTCTGCTCCTATCCTAAGTGATGAGTGTGGATGGATTCTACTTCCTTTCTCCCTGCTTGCTCCCACCTCCTTGCTGATGCTCCCTTCCATAAAGTTTACATATGCCCTGCTGGGGACTGGACAGCCATGGAGATTTTCTTCCTGTCCTGACTGCCAGTGGCGAGGCTCTGATTAGAGTTTCTAGACTTGATTAATAGTACATTTTCTTTTCCATCAAGGTAATTCTTTATTCCTGCTGTGTTTTTTTTTTTTGTGTGTGTGGGGGGGTGTCTGTCATGGGGCTAGAACTCAGGGCCTGGGCACTATCCCTTTGAGCCACAGCATCACTTCTGTTTTTCTGCTAGTTAATTGGAGATAAGAGACTCATGTACTTTTCCTGCCTGAGCTGGCTTGGAACTGTGATTCTTAGCTCGCAGCCTCCTGAGTAGTTCGGATTATAGGCATGAGCTACAAGCACCCAGCTTACTCCTGCCTCTTGATTCTGCTTTTCTGTGCTGGTCAGCTTTCAAAAGTGGAAAAAAGCAAAGTGTTAAAGGTTAAGCATATGGGCAGGAACAGTGTGCACAGGATGCTCTCACCAGATCACTCTGACAGGCCCAAGGCAGTGCCAATGGCTGCTGGATGACCAGACTGGTCTTCCACAGGCAGTGGTTCCTCCAATGTGCAAGCAGTGGTGGGGGCTCTGGAAGTGTAAGGAACAGAAGCTTCCTTAGTCATGGGACCCTCTTACCTCTCTTCTCTTTTGCTGCCTCCGTTTCTCTATCTGCAAGTGGAAAGGATAATGCATCTGCTTCACAGGGTAGATATGATGGTCTGATGATGTGATGTAGATGAGCAGTGAGCATTGGCCCATACAAGGTAGGAATGATGGGCATCTCTTACTGCCCTGTTAGGATATGAAACTTTCTGTAGGGAAATGGACCAAATAATGGCAGTCCCAAACATATGGGCTGAGATGTCTCAGACCATTGGAAGTCACATAAAGAGGAGGAGCGCTGTGGTGACATTTCATTTTGTTTTGTTTTGTTTCATGGTACTGGGGGTTGAACCCAGGGCCTTGTTCGTGCTACCCAAGTGTTCTACTTGGAGTGTTCTAATTTTTTAAAACTATTTATAGTTAATCAAAAGGTGATGTAGAGGAGTTACAGAGTTATATAAGTCAGGTAATGAGTACATTTCTTTTTGGACAGTCTCACCCCTTCTCTGACTCTCTCCTAGTTTTTCCCTCCCATCCCCACCTACATATTGTATAGTTCATTTTCAACATAGTGTCTAGTGAGTACCACTGCTGCATTTGTTCACCCCGTGTCCCTCCATTTCTGTGTGGATGAAATGTTTGAAGGAATCACTATGAACAGTAAATTTTTAGCATAAGTTAAGGCAATGTACTAGAACTTGGTAAGTGTTCTAGATAAATCTTTGACTCCTCATCCTGGGCATGGAGGATTACTTGTTGGGGGAAATGTCCAAATAAAGAAAACAGAGTGATAGGAAGAGAATGTCTGAAGGTCCTGGACTGTTGAATGTATATAGCAAACCCACTCAATGGGTTAGTGAGATTTTAAGAGTTACATGTGCATACTGCAAGTGTGGGGAACACAGAGGACTATGGCAAGCCCAATTCCTTGGGGTACTGGCATCCAGTATCAAGTGTGGCTGGGGTTCAGACCTTGCTACCGCAGCGGCAACCATCGCTCTGATGGCGCTCGGGCACCCTTTTTGTCTGGAGCTTGGTTCTGACCTGTGCAGGGGCTGTTGGCCAGGCATCAAGTCACCTGTCAGGCAGGAATCTTTTCCAGGCATTGTTCCGAGTCAGCAGGCGGGAGAGGAGAACCCCTACCCCACCTCACCCTTGTGGCTTCCAGAGCTAAAATCCTCAGCTCCTCATACAGTCCTGGCTCCGTGCATAAGACTTCTTGCCATCGGCCAGCGGAGGCCAATCTGTGGCTGGGCCCATCCTGTCCAGGCAGTGTGGATGGAGAGGAACTGTTGGGTCAGGAGTCAGCTGTTCCGTTGTCCAGCTAATCGAGCTCCCTGATGGCAGAATGTCTTCATTCTGCTCAGCCAAGGGGGTGCTGCTTTGTGATTTTGGAATCCTGTTTTCCCTGCTTTCTTGCCCTCTTTCTGTATTCCTCTTTCCTTCACAGCTCTACTTCTTGTGCTTTCTTGAGTGGCTTGAGGCACTGAGAGGTTAGAGGTCAGGCAGAGTCTCAGTTCCTCCCCAGCTCCCAGAGTGGGCTTTTCCAGAGCCATCTTCCCTGCCGTTGGCTGGCTTTGCCTGGTGAAGGCTCCTTGTTCCCAGGCGTGGAGAGAAACTAACTAGGCTGCTGGTAGCACTCATGGAAAACACCCCTCGAGAGAGTTCTCCCAGGTTCTAACTCATTCCCCTAGAGGGAATGCCACACTGCAAAAGGGCCCGCTAGCCACCCTGGTGGCAGAGGCTCCACTTCCCTGACTTCCTCTGGTGCCTTTGAGGCTGACTGGAGGTAGACTGGCAGGGTGGTGCTTCAGAGGGTCACTGCCACAGGAGAGGCTCCCCAAATGGAGGAGAGGATATCCCTACCTGATAGCTGTGTACTCAGTGAGTCCAGCCACCATGTTTGTATCCCACTTTCTCAGACCCTTGGGTGGGCTCTGCCCCTGCTGGGGGCTTAGATGCAGCCCCTGGGCCTTTGTCAATGGCCTCCTGCCTAGCCACATGGGGGTCTTGTGGAAACCTGCCTATCTCTTCCTAAGCCTATGGCTCCAGGACTACCACAGGTGGCAGAAGAGTTCCTGGGCAGCGCTTCTGGAGGTGGAGCTGGTATTGCAGGCAGCAAGGTAGGGAGGGAGAAGCTCTGGGTAGAGTCAGCTCTCCACTAAAGGTGGGACCATGGCCACAGCACCTCTGGGATCTTGAAGTTGTTATTGGCATCATTAAAGGATCCAAGAGATCACTTGGGTCCCCTCAGCTCCTCAGTTCCACTGTCCTTTTCAAGAAACCATATCCCTACTCTCACCTTCTACTGAAGCTTCTAGGAGACATTGCATTGGGGTGAATTCATTTTGGATATGAGTAGAGTGGGTGCCACCCAATGCCCTAGTGTTGGCCTTTACCTGTACTTTATCTCCAGCCCCAAGGAGATTTGTCACTCAGAGCAAGGGGACAAGACCTTGGGGAAACAAGTATTAAGAAGTGTTTCACCTCTGTACACTAATTTTACAGTTAAAAACATAAAAAAGAAGTGTTTCAAATATACAACTATTCATCCATTATCACATGTTGTATACAGTATGAATTTCAAAAATGTGATGGTTAGGGAGCTGGGAAGGTAGTTCAGTGGTAGAGCGCTTGCCTTGCATGCATGAGGGTTCGATTCCTCAGCACCACATAAGCAAAAAGAAAAAAGCCGGAAGTGGTACTGTGGCTCAAGTGGTAGAGCGCTAGCCTTGAGCTGAAGAGCTGAGGGACAGCACCCAGGCCCAGAGTTCAGGCCCCACAACCAGACCAAAAAAAAAAAAAAAAAAGTGATGGTTAATATTATTATAATACGTTTTTGACTGAGTTAATACAAACAACTCCTTAATTTTAAAATGTACATAAATATATTTGAAAATAGCAAAGTAAACAAATAAAAACAAGTGAAACACAAACTGGAAACATTAGCCCTGATCTTGGGATATGAGAGGTCTGGGTAAAGCCTACCCTGCCGTGGTGCTGCTCTGGGGTTAGCCCACGCTTTCTCTCCAGTTCCTCCCCCAGCTCTTCCTGACTGTGCGCTTGAGATGAAATGTGGTTGTATGCTGACTCCCAGTTTTTGCTGACTCCCAGTTTTTACCGTCTCCTTGACCCTCTGGGACGCTCAGTGGGAACTTCGGAGACCTTTCTGAGTTTCCCTGTGGCCTGTGTGGCTCCTGAGTCCAGTCATTTGGGGTAGGGAGTTTTGCTCATGTGGAAGGCAGAGCCGGAATAGAGCTATGCTTGCAGTAGACTATGTTCTTTGAGCTCCTGCACAAGCATGGTAGGGCTTCCATCTAGGGCTTCTAAGAGTTTGATTTGAAATCTTGAAGAGCCTGGAAAGACACAAATACTTGAGATTTCTGCTTTGTGAAAGACCTGAGAGATGGCAGGATGCTCACCAGCCGGATTACTGGTAGTATACTTTGATCTTTACAAATTAGTGCATGTGGCACCTGCATTGCCCACACCACAGGGCTGAGTTCTGACCAACCCCTGCTCCTTTCACTGCTTCGAGTCATTGCTCTGTCACAAGAGCTCTTTGGAATGATGCAGTGGGCTCTGTGTAAGACCTGAACCGGGTAAGTGGCTGGGTGGGGTCTGGACAAAGCATTCCACAGAAGGCATTCCACCTAGCCAAGGCTGTAGTTCTTCTTTGGGCTGGTGTAGGGCTGGCAGAGTCCGCATTGGGCCCTCACCTAGTGCCTGGGTACAGGAAGGAGTATGCTGGCCTGGGCACAGTATTTTTCTCCATCCTGCCCCCTGCCTTCCCCCGGAGCGTGAGCCTCAGTCCTTCACTGGTAGGTGGGCACTTCTGAAGCAAAAGGCTCAGTCCCCTCCCCCGTCTGTTTGCTCTCTGACCCCAGATCAAAGAAACAGTGACGATGGATGCTGGGAGAGCCAACAAGGAGGTGGAGGTCCTTCGAAAGCAGTGCAAGGCTCTGTGCCAGGAGCTGAAGGAAGCCCTCCAGGAGGCAGACGTGGCCAAATGCCGGCGGGACTGGGCCTTCCAGGAGCGGGACAAGATTGTGGCAGAGCGCGACAGCATCCGGTAGGGGTGTCCTCAGGCAGGCACGGGCTTGCGACTCCCCAGGATGCACTGAGGTTTCTGGGGAGGGTCAAAAGTATTTGCCACTGGATCAAGGAGAGAGGCGGGAGCCTCAGAGCATCACCCTTGTCTGATACTCTGCAGCCCTGTCTCTTGGCTTGATGGAGTTTCCCATTGTGTCCATTTTCCATGCCACTTCACCCTGGATGTCCCAAGTGTATGCTGTGTCACTTGAGGCTTCTGCAAAGTGACACAGAGCCAACCCTTTTATTTTGAGGGTCTCTGCTAAGGGCAACACACCGGAAATGTATTCTTTCCACAAGTTCAAGAGGCACTCGTGTGCCAGGATCTTTAGCTCTCTTGGGCCTGGAGACCTTGGGTGAGGCTCTCAGATGCAAGCTATCCCTGGGAAGGATCTGGGGCAGCCTGGATCCTGGGAAGAGGGGAAACAACGCATGAACATGGCATTCAGAGCCCCAGTGATAGGGTGTGGAGATACTTGGGCATAAGGCGATTGAACTAGAATTTGAAGGATGAGTGGGGCTTGTTCATGTGGGGAACAGGGATGGAGCGGGGTGGAGTGGTTAGGAGTGGGGGGTGCCCGTGGCCTGGTTCTGTAGCTGGGAGTCAGGAGAAAGGCTGAGGAGGTCCTTGAGAAAGCTACAAAAGGGAAGCAGAGGGATGTGGATGTGCTCCAGGGCTGGGGCAGAGCTGGGATTGCCACATGTTGTTGAGATGGGTGAGCTACAAGGGCATTCTGGAAGACCCCCTGTGGCTATGTAGAGGAGAGACCAGCATTGGTCAAGAGATGGAGGTGGCAAGGCCCTGCAGATGGAACTCCTCCTCTCCATGTTCTCCATGGGGCAATCCCGACTGCGCTGTGTGTGGGGAGGATGGGGACCAGCCCCTGATTCAGGGGTGGCAGAGCACAGCCCCCTGGTTTCCTGTGCGATGAGGCCATACATCCCCACCTCCTCTCTGGGTGTCTAAGGTGGCCCAGGCGTTTCCTTCTTAGAGCCCATTGTGCCTGTCCAGAGCTTTGGGCTGCAGGGATGGTTGAGGACCGAGTCCTGGCTGAAGGGCATTCCAGCTTGGTGGGAGGATGCATGTATATAATTGAGACCCATGGGTCCCACCGGGTAGGCTCGGGCTTCTCTGCAGAGGACAGCCACTGTGCCCTGCCCTGCTCTCCCCCTACCCCCACCCCCCCACGAGCTTGCATTAGAATAGTGGGTGTGTAGAGGGGGCATCAACCCCAGGCTCATCGAGGATGAAGCAGGATGAGTGGCAGATGCTGGAGTCTGACACCTGGTCACTGGCATGTCTCTCTGTCATGCAGTGGGAATAGGCTGGGTGGGCTCATCCATTGACTCCCACATGCTCCGTGTAGGGATGAGGGGATGTCAGCAGGGGCTTGAGACCTGGGAGAGGGGCTGGCAGGCTGTTGGTTACCCCTACCCATCCCGGTGACTTTGCCTTTGCCTGTGCTACCAGGACCCTGTGTGACAACCTCAGACGGGAGCGGGACCGGGCCGTGAGTGAGCTGGCTGAGGCCCTGCGCAGCCTGGACGACACTCGGAAGCAGAAGAACGATGTCAGCCGCGAGCTTAAGGAGCTCAAGTAGGCTCGGGTGGGCACCTGCCCAGGGTGGGCATAGGTCTGGAACAAGGCATCCTCCTTTCCTTCAGGCCAGCCCTGGGTATATTGGGCTGGGGCTTGTTCCTGTGTGCTTGCCTTGCTGTCTGCCCCTGCCCTTGCCTCGCTGCCAGTTTGTGGAATGGGTCCACATGCAGTCTCCGTACTGTCAGTTAACTAGACATTCACAGCAGAGGGCACCAAGCCTTTGATAAATCTATGAAGACGACAGTGTAGGCACCACATACCAAGGCATGAGGGAAAGAAGGTCTCAGCTCCCAGGCAGTCCATTTGGGACAGACATGCGGGTAACATCCACCATCCATTCCCTTCCTCTTACTCTGCAAAGCGAGTCTGCTCTATTTGAGCAGAGGCCCCTGAAAGGCACCAGGGAAATAGTAAAAAAACTTGGCACTGACCAAGTTGCTGCCCTAGCTGTGGTCACAGGACACCAAAGGACACAGATGAGTCTGTAAAAAGCTAATGGCAATCTGGACATGTGTGTGTTTCCAGGGTTGTTGTAAAAACCACTGGGGAGTCTATGCTGCCTGTTAAGCAGATGCCCATCTGGGAGATGGGCACCTCCCCCTCTGTCCCAGCACCCTCCCTGGGCCACACTTGATGACAGTGGCTGAAAAATTCAAAGTTCAGTTTAATAAGGGAAGTTGGCCATAGCTGTAGGTGTAGGACCATCTCCCCAGATCTCCCAAGACGAACAGACTCATGTATTAAATAGAACCCAGAAGTGCTGGAGCTGCAGTACTCTAAGGCAGATTTGAGGTTCAGGGGCAAAGTGACAGACTCTCCCCAGAGGAGGAGGCTTTGGTCTGGCAGATGTTAGAATCAAGGATAGACTTGCTTTTGAGGGAAAGCCTGGAGCCGCCAGGAAGGCATGGAAGAGGGATTTGGCTTCTTCCTTGAGCTAGAGTGGCCCACCTGTGGAAGCATAGGTACCCCCTGTGGTGAGGGACAGACAGCATCAGTGCTCAGCTATGGGCATGCTGGTCTGGATGAGCTGTGACTCCCACTATGTCTCAGGAGAAGAAGGTGTAGAGCTGAGTAGTAGTCTCAAACTGGCCAGCTAGACCCTGGCTCAGGCAAAGCTGCAGTCCTGGGAATCTGTCCACTTGAGTAGAAACAAAAGCAGATTACATGTATGCCAGGAGCTCATGGGTGAACTGGATCTTTCTCAAAGCCAAACTTTAAAATTTTGATGATGATGAAATCCAATTTATTGGTGTATGTGTGTGTGCATGCACAGTCTCATGTGCCAAAATTGGGGCTTGAACTCAGGGCCTTGAGCTCTCAGTTGGCTGTTTTGCTCAGAGGCTGGCATTCCACCATTTTGAATCACACTTTCACTTCCAGTCTTTTGGTTAATTGGAGATAAATAAGAGTCTCTCAAGATTTGCATGCCCAGGCTGACTTCAAACTGAGATCCTCAGTTCTCAGCCTCCTGAATCGCTAGGATTATAGTCATTCTGGCAGTACTGAGGTTTAAACAAGGGCTTTGTACTTACTAAACAGATGCTCTACCACTTGAGCTTCATCCCAAACCCTTTGTGTGGATGTGTGTTTGGATGTGCATGCATGTGCTCATTTGCGTGTGTGTGCATTACTGGGGCTTGAATTCAAAGTCTGGGCACAAATCCTTTAGTTTTTTTGGTCAAGGCTAATTGAGACACAATTCCAAAACCACTCTTCCTGTTTAAAGTAGTTTCTTGAGTTTTTGCTCAGACCTGACTTCAGATTATAATCTTTCTAATTTCTGTTTCCCCCAATAGCTGGCTTAAGCCTCTATTCCCAGCTTGATATTTATAAAATTTTAATGGATTATGTTATAGCTAGGGATTTCCTAATGTATCTGTAGAGCTCAAAGATATCCTCCTGTATTTTCTCTTTTGTTTGTTTGTTTTTGTCAGTCGTGGGGCTTGAACTCTGGGCCTGGGTGCTACAGCTTGAGCTCTACAGCTCAAGGTAAGCACTCTACCACTTGAGCCACAGTGCCACTTCCGGTTTTCTGATGGTTAATTGGAGATAAGAGTCTTACGGCCTTTCTTGCCCAGGCTGGCTTTGAACCATGATCCTCAGATCCCAGCCTCCTGAGTAGCTAGGATTACAGGCATGAGCCACTGGCACTAGGCTTCTGTATTTTCTTTCTAGAGAAAAAAAAAAAGTGTTTTTGTTTGTTGCGCAAGTGCTGAGAATGGATCCCAGAGCTTTGCTTATGCTAGGCGAGCACTGAAAACTCAGCTAAAGACCTTGGTCTTTAGAGATCGAGTCTTGCTATGAAGCCTAGACTGGCCTTAAACTTCTTTCAGCCTCAGCCTCCTGAGTGCTGGAATTATAAGCATGCACCACCACACGCAGCTTCTTTCTAGAGTTTAATAGTTATGTCTTACATTTAAGTCAGTGACCTATTTTGAGTTGATTTATACATGAGATAAGATGGTTGTTTTTGCCCTGGATGGTGTGCTACTCCTCATGGCTAGCAGAGGGCTTGGATTACTTGTGAACCTTTGTATGCTTGTGGGGCTATTTCTAGGTTTCTTGTTCTTTTCATAGGTCTGTTGGTCTCCCTCACAGTGCTGTGCAGAATTCAGTATGGTTGCCTTGTAGTAAATCTTAGGAAGGGGACTTCTCCAACTTCATTCTTTATTCTACATAAATCTAGGAAGCATTTCTGTCTGAAAAAAAGAATAACCAGGCCCTGGTAGTTCTTACCTATAATCGTTGCTACTCAGCCTAGGCAGGAAGATCCATGAGTCTCTTATCTCCAGTTCACCACCAAAAGGTGGGAAGTAGAGCTGTGGCTCAAGTGGTGGAGCACTGACCTTGAATACAAAAGTTCAAGGACAGTGCCCAGGCCCTAAGTTCAAGCCCTAGGATTGGCATGTGCACATGAGTGCACACACATAAAACAAAACCCAAACAAACAAAAACCAACCAAACAAAAATAAACAACTATAAAAATCTACTGATAATGCAAGTAGCCTTTACCTGCTCCTCCAGGTGTTTGGGGAAGCTGGTATAGAATGCCAGAGGGAAGGAGCTTCGCTTAGATTTTATGAATGGCTGCTTTGGTTGGAGTTGTGACTTGATGGGATGTTCTGTTTCCCTCAGGGCCATAACCATGCTTTCTCTGTTCACAGGGAGCAGATGGAATCCCAGCTAGAAAAGGAGGCCCGATTCCGGCAGCTGATGGCCCACAGCTCCCATGACTCCGCTATCGACACCGATTCCATGGAGTGGGAAACAGAAGTGGTTGAGTTTGAAAGGGAGACGGTAAGCTGCCTTGGGTGGATGTATTTCCCTGCTGTCTTCCACATGAGGACTTTGTGGGGAGGAGAGGATGGCTCTGTGGCAGTGCCCCCATTTCATAGCTCTTGGGGTTACTTCTGGGGGCAGGAATGCCTTCTTGCCCTGTAGCTGTCCAGCAGGGACAAGGCAGAGCAGTGGAGATGCTTAGCAGTGGCCAAAGGGGCATAAGGCGGCTTCTATGAGTAGGGACGGATGATGGCTGCTTTGCATTGTCAAGTGCTGCTGTTTTGACAGGAGGACGTTGACCTGAAGGCACTTGGGTTTGACATGGCCGAGGGTGTGAATGAGCCTTGTTTTCCTGGGGACTGTGGCATATTTGTCACTAAAGTGGACAAAGGAAGCATCGCTGATGGCCGCTTGAGGTAAGAGGTGAAGAGGCCCAGACCTTGGGGGTAGGGAAAGGCAGCGTCCTCCCACTGGATCCAGAGAGCCCCCAGGGACCCAAGTGGCAGTGAAATGAGTATACCCCAGCATTTGGGGACTCAGAGTCTGTCCAACTTCTCAGATTTAGTTGAGTTGCTCTTTGAGGAAATTGCCTCTCAGGTGCCTTGGAATCTGGCTTTTCTCTGGGTACCAGGTGCTGTCTTTTGCTCCTCTGGGTGGCAAAGGGCTCAGTGGTAGGTGGTGAGAGACCGGGGCAGGTCCTGTTCTGACACTGCATGAAGTAACTTACAATACCCAGGCGCCAAGAGCTAAGAATCTCAGTTCAAAGCCAGCCTGGCAGGAAAGTCCGTGAGACTTCTATCCAGTTAACTATCATAATGCCAGGTATGGCTCAAGTGATAGAGTACCATCTCTGAGGGAGGAGGCTAAATAAGAGTATAAGGCCCTGAGTTCAAGCCTCATTACTGGTACCAAAAAATAAAATAACTTACATAGTCTTACTTCTTGCAGAGGACTGGTATAAGCACTTTACAGTCCTGTGAGGCAGGTTTAGTTATTGCCTCGTGTTACAGGTGAGGACAGTGAAGGTCCAGAGGGAACAAGGGAACAAGGGTAGCACAGCTGCTAAATGACAGAGCCAGGATTTGAACCATCATCTGCAAGCAATACACTTCTTTTTGGCCTTTGACCCTGAGGGCCCCCCCCCCCCCCCCGGCCCTGAGGGAGCGGCAAGGGCTACCACAGGCTGTAGGGTCTGCATGAGCACTGACCTGGCTGTACCTCTCCTCAGGGTCAATGACTGGCTGCTGAGGATCAACGATGTGGACCTAATCAATAAGGACAAGAAGCAGGCCATCAAGGCTCTTCTACATGGGGAGGGGGCTATCAACATGGTTGTGCGGCGCAGGAAGTCCCTGGGGGGGAAGGTGGTCACACCCTTGCACATCAACCTCAGTGGACAGAAAGGTAGTGGACCTGCTGGTGTGGCAGGTGCCCTTCTGGTAGAGAGGGAGGGGATTGCATGTGTATTCAGGAGTACAGGGGTATTATTTGCAGGGGTGCAGTACTGATGTCACTTTAGTGCCACCCCTGTGTGCTCCTGGCAGGCTGCTGTCTAGGTTCCAAGTGTCTGGTTCACCAGGCCTGATGTGATGAGTCTCGGGGTGGGGGGGGGGGTGGCTGGGTGGGGTGCTGGGCTGAGTACAGTGTGTAAGGTCAGTCAGTAGAGATGGGATGGGGCAGCCAGGTCAGGTCACCCAGGGCCCTCCTGTGGCTTGCAGACAGTGGCATCAGTTTGGAGAATGGAGTGTTCGCTGCTGCCGTGGTGCCAGGAAGCCCCGCCGCCAAAGAAGGGTCCCTTGCCGTGGGAGACAGGATTGTTGCGGTGAGTCCTGAGGGCAGAGAGGGGTGTCTGCCACACCTAGGGGCTACCTATGAGAGGACTGAGTCAGGCACAGAGTTTTATATCCATCTTGCTGTTACAGGGCGTTGTACTATGTGAATACTGAAAGAAAAACATTCTCCCTAATATGTGCCAAAATACTACAATAGGAAGTCTTATAGACAATTAGAAACCACAGAAAACATGAGGAAGATTGTTTTTATTGCTAGTGTATATATATATATATATATATATATATATATATTCTAATTTTTCTTCTGTATCTCTGTACAGAAATGTTTAGTAAGGACAGTTTTCTAAAACATGAAACAAGTCCATCAAGATGTGATCTTTTAAAAAAATTTTTGTGCGTGTTGGAGTGGGGGGAAGTTGTATATTTTTGAGATAAGGTTGCCTAGGTTGGCTTCCACTGAATCTAAGTGCCAACACTTGGACTCCAGCAGTCTTCTTACCTCAACCTCCTGAATGGCTGGGATTACAGGTGCAAACCACTGTGCCTGACATAACAATATGTTTTTACTAAACATCACTTTATTTATTTTTATTTTTTATTTACCAAGATTAGTCCTGTTTGTTATAAAACAATGAAGCGACACAAAACTGTTCAAAGTGGGAAGTGGTCTCCTTTTCCTCCCATAAATCCTGTCCTAGAGATCTCTGGCTTGGATGTGTATACACTTCTGTTTTTGTTTGTTTGTTTTCTAAATACAATAGGGATCTGTGGTTTTCTCTCTTTTTTTCCTTCCTTCCTTCCTTCAATTGTGGGCCTGAACTCTGGGCCTGGGTGCTGTCCCTCAGCTCTTCAGCACAAGGCTAGCACTCTACCACTTGAGCCACAGCACCACTTCCAGCTTTTGCCGCTTATGTGCTGCTGAAGAATCAAACCCAGGGCCTCATGCATGCAAGGCAAGCACTCTTACCACTGAGCCACCTTCCCATCCCTTTCTTTTTTAACTATATACATATATATATGTATAGATACAGATATATACATATACACACATACGTATGTATATATGAAACACAGTGGTTTGCACCTGTAATCCCAGCTACTCAGGAGGCTGAGGTAAGAAGACTGCTGAAGTCCAAGGCTTGGACTTGGATTCGGTGGAAGCCCACCTGGGCAACTTTCTCTCTCTCTCTCTCTCTCTCTCTCTCTCTCTCTCTCACACACACACACACACATACACACACACACACACACACACATGCATATTTTTGTTTCTTTTCTTTTTGGTACTAGGGGTTGAAACCAGATCGTTGTACTTATTAAGCAAGTCCTTTGCCACTGAGCTGCATCTCAGCCTACAGTTCTCATTCTATATTGTGGTTGTCTTTCCAAGTCTATCTTTATTCATGTGTCAGCCTCACAATGTTGGGCTGTCAATGTACAGTTTAAATCAACCCCTCCTGATAGACATGTGCATTTCCAGTATCTGTTGTTGTAAACAGGCCTACAGTGACATCTACCTGTGTGCATAGCCACTTCTAGGACACCTAATGGTATCTCACTGACTAAACATTTAGAAATGCCAGTTCACTGAACCAAAGCGTATGCATGGTTCTGACTTCTGACCGTTCTTCTGAAATTGAAAATGTCATGTACCTTTCCCTAGCACAAGTGCAAAATTCCAGTTATACAATGGGTATGTGACAATGCTTCCTTTGGTTCTAGACCCACTTACCTATTTCCCAGACAGAAGCCATGGTTAGCATTACAGTGTTTTCTTCCAGAAATATTCCAAACAACTGCATTTCTACTTTTTATTTTTGTTTTGTTGTAACCCAGATGGATTGCTCACATTACATTTTCTGTTTTTAATAGCATGTCTTGGAGAGACTCAGAACTTTACATCTGCTTTAGTCCTTTTTCCTTCCTTCCTTCCTTCCTTCCTTCCTTCCTTCCTTCCTTCCTTCCTTCCTTCCTTCCTTCCTTCCTTCCTTCCCTCCCTCCCTCCCTCCCTCCCTCCCTTCCTCCCTCCCTCTTTCCTTCCTTCCTTCCTTCCTTCCTGTTTCTTTTTTTTGGAGGCAGGGGAGGTTAGTTAATTGGAGATAAGAGTCTTATGGATTTTCCTGACCAGGCTGACTTTGAATCATGATCCTCACATCTCTGCCTCCTGAGTAGTGTTAGGATTACCGTGTGGGCCACCAGCACCTGGCTTTGTCTCATTTCCTTTTAAAAAAGGTTTTGCCGTGACTGGAAATGTGGCACAGATTCTTAGTGATCTTGGACAATTCTTCATCTCATGGTTATGGTTTTCTCCGGTGCTTGTCTGCTCCCAGAGGCATGTGGGTTCATCTACCACTTAACACATGATGGAGTGCGGCTGGAAGTTCTGAGCCATGGCAGTTATGTGGCAGGCAATTTCCCTGGGGTTCTTGGTGTTTTGGTCCCAAAAGGATAGTATGATGCTAAGAGTTGTGTTTCATTTGCTTCAGGAGCCCCTCACTTGACTTGGGCCTTACTATGGAGGGACTTTCTCTCCTTTGCCAGTCTCTGATCTGGCACCTGGCCTGCAGTCCACCACGGGTTAGTGGAGGCATGCCAGTGGGACTGAGGTTGTTGCCCTGCCAGGGGCCTGATTTGATTCTCTGCTTGGCCCTAGATCAATGGCATTGCACTGGACAATAAGTCTCTGAATGAATGTGAATCCCTACTGCGCAGCTGCCAGGACTCCTTGACCCTCTCCCTCCTGAAGGTAAGGACCCGGTACTTACTCTGTTCCCATCTTCTGGAGGGAGGACAATGCCCCAGCTTGGTGTCAGCAGGAAGGATGAAAACAGGATAGTTATTACAGAATGCAGGCGAACATGAAATCTGGCTGGATCCTGGTTGGAAAAGAAAAGGCAGTTAGGAAGGTTGCGTTGGGGACAGTTGGACACGTTTGAATTTGGACTGGATGGATAATTAGGTTGTCTTAAGTAATGCTTAGCTTTTTTAGGTGATGGCATTGGTTATATAGGAAATTGGATTTATTTGAGGAAGTAGAGACTACAGTTGTTAGGGTTGAAAGTCAAGGTATTTGTGATTTTCCAGGGTTCTGAGATTACCAATACAGATTCGAGGAACAGGGAATATACAGCCCGTGGACTTTATGTGCCAGGACAAGCTCGTGACATTTCTTGTTGGCTACCCATTGCCTGACTGCCTGCATTGATCATTTTATATGGCTCCTAATGATGTTGTAAATATCCAAATAGTCCTTGGCAGGAACAAGGCTCCTTGTCCCTGGACTGTAGATGATAAAGACAATCTGATAGAATATTATTGAATTTAGTTAATGGGTTTATGCACATCCATTGTATGTCCCTATCATTTGTCTACCTGATTAAAAAATTAATCATCAGCTGGGCGCCGATGGCTCATGCCATCTCCGCTACTCAGAAAGCTGAGATCTGAGGATCGCAGTTCAAAACCAGCCGGGGCAGGAAAGTCTGTGAGACTCTTATCTCCAGTAAACCACTAGAAAACAGGAAGTGGTGCTATGGCTCAAGTGGTAGGGCGCTAGCCTTGAGCTGAAGAACCCAGGCCCAGAGTTCAAGCTCCATGGCCAGCAACAACAACAACAATAATAAAAGGTTGGAAAATAGACCCATCTTCTTCACTAAAAGATGCTTTCTAAGTTGATTATTTTAAAATCAATAGACTTTTTTTTTTTAATACTAGAGACTTTTTTTTGGAAGTGGTTTTAGATTTTTCAGAGCTGCTAGGCTGGTCCAGAGAATTACCATGTACTCTCTCACCTAGGCCCTCACTACTGTCTCTCCCTCCGCTCCTCATTTTCCCTATTATTGCCAAGATGCCAAGATAGAGTATGTGGTACATACAAGATATAGTATGTGGTACATACTATATAAATGGTGAGTCGCCATGCTGCCCGGTTCACATGAGGGTTCCTTATGCTTCATTACTTGAGGGTGTTGTATGTTCTGTGGGTTCTGGCAAATGTGTACTCATGTAACCACCATTACAGTATTATAAAGGATGGTTTGCCACTGTAAAAAAAAAAAATCCCCTGAGCTATGCCCATTTATTCCCATCTTTCCTAAGCTCCCTATTCCCCCCACCCCATCATTTTTCTGCTTGCGTTTCCCAGAATGCTATGTGGTGGGAAGCTCCTCAGTATATAGGCTCCTCAGATAACTACTTAGTCACCTGCATTTAGGGTCATCTTCCTCGTATCTCTGTGGCTTGGTAGCTTACCTCTGTTTCGCTCTGGTTAGTATTCTGTGGCCTGGATGTGACACGAGGATTGACCGAATGCTTAGTGCAGGTAGTGCAAGTCAGGAGTATTTCATAGCTGTCTTGTGAATTTCAAGCAGCCAGATGCCACATGCATGTGTGTGCTTGTCCACTGATCCACTGTGGGGGTGGCATTCAGCTCCTGGTCCTACGTCTCACCTTCTTTGTCTTACCTCTCTGGCACCCCTGCTCCTCAGGTGTTCCCTCAGAGCTCCTCATGGAGTGGCCAGAACATCTTCGAAAACACCAAGGACTCTGACAAGTTGTTGGGTTTCCGAGCCCATGGGCCCGAGGTCCAGGTACACAACAAGCGGAACTTGGTACAGCACAATAACTCCACACAGACGGACATCTTCTACTTGGACCAGCTGGAGGACCGCAAGGACTTGGGCCTGGCTGGAGGCAGCAGCTCCTTTCTGCACAAGCCTTTCCCCATCTCCCCTCAGGCCTGTCCCAGCACTTCCGAGCGGAGCCTGAGCTCCTTCCGCTCCGATACCTCTGGGGAGCGTCCCTATGGGCTGGCAGACATTCGGAGCCGGCGGCCGCTGCTGCCCTTCGAGACTGACGTGGGCCCTTGTGGGGCAGTGGAGCCCCCCCTGGACAAGGTTGACCCTGAGGGCTCCAATAGCGGTGGGACCTGGCCTAAGGCCGTGCTCAGCTCCACAGCAGGGCCAGAAAAGCTGTCCGTCTACAAAAAGCCAAAGCAAAGAAAGTCTATCTTCGACCCAAACACTTTCAAACGTCCCCAGACACCCCCCAAAATAGACTACCTGCTCCCAGGCCCTGGGCCGGCTCATTCCCCCCAGCCCTCAAAGAGGGTGGGTTCTCTTACGCCCCCCAAGCCACCCAGGAGGAGTGACTCCATCAAGTTCCAGCACAGACTGGAAACTAGTTCTGAGTCAGAGGCCACTTTGGTGGGCAGCTCCCCGTCTACCAGCCCCCCGAGCGCCCCACCTCCCGACATGGATCCTGGGGAGCCCATGCATGCTTCACCCCCTCGCAAGGCCAGGGTGCGCATCGCCTCCAGCTACTACCACGAAGGAGATGGGGACCCATTCTGCCTGCCCACCAAGAAGTCCTGTGAGGAGGACCTTACTTCCCAGAAGGCAGATGAGCTGGGGCAGAAGCGCCGCCGCCCAAAGTCGGCTCCCAGTTTTTGGCCCAAGCTTGCTCCGGTAGTGATTCCTGCTCAGTGCCTGGAGGTAGAGTTGAGCCTGAGGTGGGAGGAGCTGGCCATGGGGATGCTGCTAAAAGGAGCTCTGTACCCATGAGTTAGGCTGGTGCCTGGCATGGACTGGGGAGCGGTTGGGGTATGAAGGGATACCAGCAGGAAGTATCCCCCCCCACCCCCGCTGGGAGGTGGGACATGAGTGTGGGGGGTGAATGGAAGTAGAAGTGTGGCATCATAGAGAACATGTTCTTGGGCTTGGCATTTGCGTTGCCTGTTCAACAAGAAGCTTTTGGACTTGTACAACAGAGTCAGGTGAATGGCCTTGCCCTGTGGAGTTTGGAGGAATGCGTTGCACACAGGAGACTGTTAGCTGGCAGCCAGCCCCCTGATTGTGTGTGCTGTAGTTTGCACAAGGGGCAATGGAGGGTTGACACCCTCCCAGACACCAGTCCAGCTACACTCACACCCACTGTAAGCTGTGCTGTGTCCTGAGGCACACATCCTTCTTATCTACTCAGAGTTTATTTAAAGGAAAGGTAGCTGTCTTTTTTTTTTTTTTTTTACTGGTTCAGAGACTTAAACTCAGGACCTGGGTACTGTCCTTCAGCTTTTTCAATCAAGAGTGCTGCTCTTATCATTTTGAGTCATACCTCCATTTTCACCTGGAACTCTGCCATTTGAGCCATACCTCCTTTTTCATCTGGTGTTCTAACATTTGAGCCACACCTCCTTTTTCTACCTGGTACTCTTATTTGAGCCCTACCTCCATTTCTGGCTTTGTGGTGGCTAATTGGAGATAAGAGTCTCACTGACTTTCCTGTCTGGGCTGGCTTTGAATTGGGATCCTGAGGCCTCAACCTCTTGAGTAACTAAGATTGTGAACTACTGGCACCCAGCTTGCGGTTATCTTATGAAGGATTTGTAAAGGGAGACTTTCCCTCCCAGTTGTGTAAGCCAACACCTCCTGAGCCTGAGGAGTCAGTCTCTGCATCGTGGCAGACCTTGGGCAGAATATTTCACTGTGCCCAGTAAATACCCCTTGTCTTTGTTTCTACAGGAACAGAAGTGCAGCCCGGCCAGTGGTGAGCTCTCCCCGGAGGCCCAGGAGTGGTCCCCATACTCACCAGGGCATCCTGGCCGGCATGGCAATCCCCCACTCTACCCCAACAGGCCATCCGTGGGTAAGTTGGCAAGATCAGGACTGGGAACAGGGTTGGCATGGACTCATAAGGCTGCACAGGCCCCATCGAAGAGGAGCCTGTTGTGGCTCTCAGGCCTAGGCCCAGGGGACATTGAGTTGCTTCCCTGTCTGCTTCCATATCATACGCTCTCTTTCCAGTGCCGCTGCAGTGATAGGAAGTCTGTAAGGCTTTTTTTTTTCAACTTTTCTTTTTAATACATGGGGAAAGGCCAAAGCCACAAAGCCAACCAGTGGTTAAAACTCTTCTCTTACAACCTTTTTCCTACAAGCCTGTGGCTATGAGTCTGCTAGATGAAAGAGAGTTTGCTCCAGTCCAGGGCTGTGTGGTTGCTTTGGGGCAGTCCTTCTTACCCTGCCCATTTCTAGGCACTGTTCCTCGGAGTATGACCCCCAGCACCACCGTGAGCTCCATCCTGAGAAACCCCATCTACACTGTGCGCAGCCACAGGGTCGGCCCCTGCAGCTCCCCGCCCGTACCTCGTGATGCTGGCCCCCAGGGCTTGCCTACCAGGTATGCACACGCACCTGTACTTCCCTGAGCCCCAGCTGTCCTGCCCTTAGCGTGAGGCCTTACTGGCTGCCCCGTGTATATATCCCTTTGACTGCCTGAAGGCCGCTGTTAGGTCCCACTTGTGAGAAGTGGCTGGGGGCAGTCTGTTGTCTCCATCCAGGAAGGAGTGGCTTTTGGTCCTCCCCTCTGGCTCAGGGAGGCCCAGGCAGTGACCGTGTCTGGCCCTGAGCTTTCTCCCCAACCCTTCACCTCTCTGGTTCTCTTGCAGTGTCCAGCACCAGGGACGCCTGAGTCTAGACCTGAGCCACAGGGCCTGTGGTGACTATTCTGAGATGAGAGCCTCCCACGGTTCCAACTCCCTGCCCTCCAGTGCTCGCCTAGGTAACTGCCACTCAGGCCTCCCCACCCCTCACTGTCCTAGGTGCTCCTGTGGGCTTCCTGCATGGGCTCTGCTCCCTCCTGGGCCAACCTCGGCTCCTTCCTTGGGAGGGAGGGCTTCCTGGTCTCATGCCCATGGTGCTCTGAGAACCACTGCCCTCCACCTGTAGCTTTTATTAGTGGAGAGAGCTTTGCCCCTGTCCCTGGCTTATTGGTCATTCTTGGTGTTTATATAGCCATTTCCTCAGGAAAAATATAACTCAGAGGAGAGGCTCTTGTGACTGGGAGAGGTACCCAGCTTTGGCGCTGGGGAGAGAAGACAGTATCTGCCCACATCACCTTGGTTCCATTTGCATCCCAGGCTTTCAGTGTGTTGAGGGGTGGTAGGACTCCTGAAGAAATCTGTTTTCTCAGTGTGTCCTAACCCTAGGAGGCAGGCATCTATTTTTTTCTTTTACATTACAGGTCCCACAGGGATGTATGACAGTTTGAGCCTGTCACTCTTCTGTCTGCTATATGATTGTATGCTGTTAGGGCTGGTGTGTTTCATCTTGAGGTCTGAAGCTTTCTTTGTCTCCCTGCAATAGGGTCTTCTAGTAACTTGCAGTTCAAGGCAGAGCGCATTAAGATCCCGTTGACACCGAGATACCCCCGGTCTGTCATGGGCTCTGACAGAGGTAAGCAGTGGACAGGGCCTCTGGTGCTTGGCCTGCCATCCTGCCTTGTCCTCTTGTGGAACCTCTGGGTAGAGCTGATCTGGTTTGCTGATCATCTCAGCCAGTCAGTCAAGGCTTGATGAGCTCTGCCTTAGGCCTGGTACTGTGAGGCTGTGAGGCAGTCTGAACCCAGGCCCTGTGATTCTGTGTCTGGACAGCAGAACATGACCGTGTTCCTTCCTCTCTCAGCAGGCTCACTGTCACATTCTGAGTGCAGCACTCCTCCTCGGTCACCCCTGAGCGTTGACACCCTGTCCTCTTGTAGCCAGCCCCAGACCTCAGCTTCCACATTGCCCCGGATTGCCGTTAACCCTGCATCCCTTGGGGAACGGAGAAAAGACAGGTGAGTGGTGTGTGTGTGTGTGTGTGAGTGTGTGTGTGTGTGAGTGTGTGTGTGTGTGTGTGTGTGTGGTGTGTGGGAGGGGGTTGGGGGATGGAAAAGACAGGTGAGTGGTGTGTGTGTGTGTGTGTGTGGGTGTGGTGTGTGGGAGGGGATTGGGCGACGGCATCTATGGCCTGTGTGTGTGTGTGTGTGTGTGTGTGTGTGTGTGTGTGTGTGTGTGTGTGTGTGTGTGGTGTGTGGGAGGGGATTGGGCGACGGCATCTATGGCCTGTGTGTGTGTGTGTCATCTATGGCCTGTGTGTGTGTGTGTGTGTATGTGTGTGTGTGTGTTTGTGTGTGTGTGTGTGTGTGTATGTGTGTGTGTGTGTGTGTGTGTGTGTGTGTGTGTGTGTGTGTGTGTGTGTGTGTGTGTGTGGTGTGTGGGAGGGGATTGGAGGACGGCATCTATGGCCAGGATTAAAGCTCAGGCTTAGGATAGGCGGAACCGAGAGGGACCCAGCCACCCTCATTTGGGTCACTCAGTAGCCAGTGGCATCCAGCTCAGCATGTCATTTGGATGTCACTGTGGCACTTGGTACAGGGGCTTCGTCCCAGCAGAGAGGCAGGGCATGTGTAGATGCAGGGATGGAAGGGATAGGTTCCTTCCACTGAGCCATGACAAGGAATGATTCTGGAGATGACCTGGTGGTGGCAGGAATGTCAGAATACCATCTACTATTTCCTAGGTCCATGTTTAGCACTTCACACATCTTAAGTTATGAAAGCATCATAATTGCTCTGATGTATTAGCCCTGTTGGACAGATGAAGAAATTAGGTGATCTGTGTGGTCATGGAGTTTAGCAACTGTTCTGACTTGACTAGAACCAGGGCTCCTCCTTACCCTATGCTTTCTCGTCCCAGATCTACTGGCTCTATCTCTAGGTTCTTCTGTCCTGCTCACCCAAGGCTTTTTATTGTAAGGTGCAGCACACACAAAGAGAAGCTAAGGGCACAGCTTAGCTATTCATTGGTTTAGTTTTTTAAGTGTGGGTCGTTTCAGAACATGGCTGAAGGTTTTCTTCCAGTAGGGTGACCAGGGGCCTCTCTCTGGTCCCTTTCCTTGCATTACCCCCACCCTGTTCTTTTTTTTTTTTTTTGGTCATGGGCTTGAACTCTGGGCCTGGGCGCTGTCCCTGAGCTCTTCAGCTCCAGGCTAGCGCTCTACCACTTGAGCCACAGCACCACTTCCAGTTTTCTGGTGATTTATTGGAGATTAGTGTCTCACAGACTTTCCTGCCTGGACGGGCTTTGAACCATAATCCTCAGATCTCAGCCTCCTGAGTAGCTAGGATTATAGGCGTGAGCCACCAACACCCAGCCCTCTCTGTTCTAAATGGAGCTTTTCTAGATCATATTTACAGTCTAGCAAGTGGAGCAGCAGGAGTTGGGGAAAACGTTCTAGCTAGATCGTATTTGACTGGCAGATCTTAACTTATGAGAACATGGTCTCAGCAGGTATTCACCTGCTGAGGGGAGCAGAAGGTACCTAAACTCCAGGCTGAGCCTGTGCCATCAGACTTTACCCTGGTAACACATGTGGGTGCACATAGGGGTGGGCTTTCCTGAGTGAAGGGGAGCACCCTTCTTTGCCTCCCCTCCATGTACAAAGCTGGGAACTGTACCGGGAGAGGAGAACTATGAGTGATTCCTGACTCCACAGTGCTATGACACAGTTAGATATGGGTTTAACCTCCGTGGCCCGAGCAGCAGCTTACTTACTAATTGAAAGTCATACCTTTGTTTTGTTCTTGTTTTTTTTTTTGTCGTTGTTGTTGTTGTTCTGGTCCTGGAGTGTGAACTCAGGGCGCTGGCATTGTCCCTGAGCAGTGTTTGAGATCAAAGCTAGCGCTCTACCACTTCTGGTTTTGGGGTTTTTTGGTTGTTTTTTTTTGGTGGTGGTTAATTGGAGATAAGAGTCTCAAAGACTTTGCTGCCCGGCTGGCTTCAAACCATGAGCCTTTGATTTCAGCCTCCTGAGTAGTTAGGATTACAGGTGTGAGCCATTGATGCTTGGTGAGGGTATTACCTTTTGTCCTGATTCAGAAGTTGGAAGAAGAAAAAAAGTTACATACAACCAGACAGACATTCATTTGCTATTCACCACACACATACACACACACACACACACACACACACACACACACACACACACACACACACACACACACACACCACATTTGTGTGGTATGTATGGGACTGACTTGAGGCAAGGCTCTGTCTCTCAGCTTTTCACTCAAGGCTGACACTCTACCATATCACTTGAGCCACAGCTGCACTTCCAGCTTTTTGCTGGAAGATCTCACAGACTTTCCTGTCTGGACTGGAAAGTCCTCAGATCTCAGCCTGCTGAGTATCTAGGATTACAGGAGTGAGCCACCAACACTTAGTTTAAAAAAAATGTATTTAATGCTTGCTTTATTTATATTATTTTACACACATAATTACATCCTCTTTAATTAACATCTTTTCGGTGCCTTGTGATTTGTAAGTATAACTATTATAAACCTGTTTTAAAAGCACATTATTCCAAGAAAACTTAGTGCAAAGTATCAGACATATAAACTATTCTGAGGATTCACAAGTTAACGACTGTTGCCGACCACCTCACTGAGAGACGTGAGTTGTGCATTCTCGGTCCGTCCTCTGTGGAGATCTACGTGTGAGTGCACACGTACCTGTGTGTGCAGGTTACTGAACATGGAATTACCTGTGGTCCACCGTGTCTTGCCAGGTCAGGAAGCTGTGATGTATAGGTAATTCAGGCAGCTTCCTGGCTTCTGTGTGCCTGTCACGTTGTCTTTCTTGCCTATTCCTGTGTTGAGATAAACCTGTTAGGTGGAGATAAAGCTAACCAAAGGGCCATCTGTGTGTGTGAGGAAGGAGGAATGGCACACGAAACCCAGCTCAACCCCACCTGCAGGTGGCTGCGAGGGAGTGGCTTCCTCCTCCCTGGCCTGTGCCCTGCCCCATCATTTCAGGTTGGAGTGTGAGGATGGCACTAAGGGGGGGGGGGGGGGGCGGGCAGCTTGGTAAGGATTCTTGCCGCTTGGAATCACTTGATGCCTTCTCACATAGTCGAGTGACTATGCGTGTGCAGAACTGGTGAGTTTGGGAAGTAAGGATAACTTGGGAGGCTTGGTGAGAGCAAAGACAATTAAAAAAAAAAGAATTTTAGTCTGCTATTCCAAAACTGCAGGGACCCAAACTGTGGCCTGCTGAGCTGGTGGACTGCTCTGCCTCTTGACAGCAAGGGTGCCTGCCTCTGGCTCCTCACCATATGGGCAAGAAAGACCCGAGAAATGAACACCAGACTGGTTCCCTCCTGTGGCCTAGACTTTGTCCTTTATGGCCTGGAGGAAACCCAGGGCTGTGATGCTTCAGCCCTGGGGTAGGGCTGGGCGTTGTCCCCCATTTTTTTCTGTGTGCATGTTGCAGGTGGATGGATTGTCTTCCGTCTCTGAGCTCACTTCTCTTTGACCTTTGTCCATCCAGGTGTTTCTTCCACCACAGATCTCTTCTGAGGCTGCCCGTGGCCACCAGGCCCAGGTCCTCCTCGCTGAGGAGTCTGAGGTTGGCCTGACATGAGGCTCCCATGTGCCCCTACCCCTGGTGCCCTGGGGCCTGGTGGATGGCTCCTTGGGAAGCGAGTGCATGGTCACAGCCTTGCTCAGAGCCTCCTTGCTCCTCTTTTTCTCATGGCTTGGATTTGCAGCCGCTTAATTTTCATGATCAGTTCACATCACCCTGTGTAGCCAGGAAACATGAAAACAGATGGTTTCTCCTCCACTTTTCTAGAGGGAGTGTCATTCCGGAAGCCATTTCTGGTCTCCCAGAGGGTGTCTTGAGACTTGCCCTCCCCTGGGGGTTTACGAATTGCATGTCCCGAGTATACTCCTCTCAACAACTCAAATGTTGTATTGTCCCTGTGTCAGAGTGGTGTTCTGTTGGACTGTTGTCTGTTTCTGAGGCTGGGTGTTTCCATGTTCATTTGGGTGTGCTGTGTATCTATTGCATGGCATTTCAAGAACATACATGTTGGTCCATACAGAGGCCGAGTCACCATGTCCCCACGCAGCTGTGTCACTGCAGGAGCCCCGGGCGCTGAACCGTCCCTGCACGCATGACTGTACGCCCTGTCTCATGCTCCTCATGCTTTTCCTTTGGGTCTGAGTCCCCCCCCCCAAAAAAAAAAAAAAAAAAAACCCTTTGTCTTTTTCCAAGGCCTTACGTGGAAGAACCACGCCACGTGAAGGTGCAGAAGGGCTCAGAGCCCCTGGGCATCTCCATTGTGAGTGGAGAGAAGGGTGGCATCTATGTCTCCAAAGTGACCGTGGGGAGCATCGCCCACCAGGCTGGCCTTGAGTATGGGGACCAGTTGCTCGAGGTAAGAGGGCATGGCCCCTTTTCTCTTTTCCTGTCCTCCTCCTCTGAAAAAGCACTGTTTCCAGGCCTCAGCCCCTCCCCTGGCCCATCATAGAACCTACCCTGGGTGTCTCCCCCAGTTCAATGGTATAAACCTGCGGAGCGCCACCGAGCAGCAGGCCCGGCTCATCATTGGGCAGCAGTGCGATACCATCACCATACTGGCCCAGTACAACCCGCAGATGCACCAGCTCAGCAGCCACTCTCGCTCCAGGTGAGCCTCCCCAAGGGCCCCTGGTCTGGGATGGAAAAGGTGGTTGTGGCAGGTATAGTGCTCACAAGGGGGCGTCCGGTCCTTTCTGACTTGTGGTAGGTATGGGGGAGGGGAAGAGGATCTGACAGCTACAAGTTCTGGGGATTCTGTTACTGGTAAAGGGAGGTGAGTAGCCTAGGACTTTGGAGAATGGCTGTCTATGCAGAACATGTCACAATAGAGGCCTTATGATAGTCAAGAGCACAAGCATTTGGGGACAAGCTGCTGCTTCTTTTTTTTTTTTTGGTCTGGGTGTGTAGTTCCTGAGCTTTTTTTTCTTTTTTTTTTTTTTGCTCCAAACTAGTGTTCTACTACTTGAGCCACAGTGGTACTTCCAGCTTTTTTGGTAGTTAATTGGAGATAAAGAGTTTCATGGACTTTTCTGCCCAGATAGGGTTTGAACCGTGATCCTCAGCTCTCAGCCTCCTGAGCGACTAGGGTTACAGGTGTGAGTCACCAGCACCCAGCTCAGCGATAAGATTCTTATTCAGTGGTTGACTGTCTTTCCACAAGCAAATGCTGGACACCTGCCTGTATTCATCCTTGTGCTCAGGGTCACAGAGCAGATGGCAGGAGGAGCTCTGCACAGCTGTACCACATGGCTCAGCAGGGGAGACAGATGCCGAGGCAGAGGACAGGGACAGTGGCTTCAAGTGGCCCCTAGGCTGGACACCTTTGGAGAGGATCTCTGAGTTGAGGTCTGACAGATCCTGGGGGCCAGGTGACATGAGCCCCTAGCGTGTGTGCCTTGGCTCAAGAGCACAGAGCAGTCTGACCTATTACCCACTCACAGGCCAAATCTGGCTGCCACTATAGAGGTAGTGGCTCAGGGTAGCCGTGTGCATGTTCTGACTTCGGCCTTCCGTCCCTAGCTCCCACCTGGACCCTGCTGGTGTCCACTCCACTCTTCAGGGCAGCGGTGCCACCACCCCAGAGCACCCCTCAGTCATTGACCCACTGATGGAGCAGGACGAAGGCCCTGGCACCCCTCCAGCCAAGCAGAGCACTTCCAGCTCTAGGTGAGCAGACACAGGCGGTAGGAGCCCAGGTAGTCTTCTGCCTTTGTGGGACTGAGCCACCTCAGGGGCGTGGGCACTGGTCACCCACCACATACCAGGTCCTGAAAGATCTGGGGTGGGAGACAGACGTGTTCTTCCCGTTGTTTCTCCTTCCCTTGCCTCTTCCCTTCCTCTCATTTCCTCATGACTCCTTTGTTACCTCCCTTTTTCATCATCTCCTGTTGTTGCTTGCTTGTTTTCTGATTCAGTCTCCAGACACCATCCCACAGTCATTTCCATCTAAGCCCTGGGGGTTCTGGCTGGTGAGCATCACTGCTGTCCTCAGGGAGGTGCCAGGCTAGGGCCTGCCTGTGTGTGGCCAGTCATATGATCAGGGGTCTGCCAGAGCCATCCGGAGGTGCAAGGACTCTTGAGACAGCTAGGTGCAAATGTCACGAGCAGGCCCTGCAGAGAAGCCGGGCAGGGGGAGCAGCATCAGGACTGGACAGGTGCTCTTGAGAACAGCACATCCATCAGCCTGGCTGGGGACCAGCAGAGGGCCACCTAGGCTAGGGTGCAAAACTGTCGCTCCTCAGTCCTGCAGGAGCCACTTTAGCAAAGCCCCAGCATCACTCAGAAGGAAGTGGTTCGGTACTGCCTGCCAGTACCCTGCCATTCGGGAATCTACTAGCCACCAGATTTTTACCTCAGGCAGGCTCCCCCCACTCCTGCCCCCCACCTGGGAGGCTTCCACTGTCCTACCTCCTTAACTTCCCTCACCAAAGTTCTTGATGGCAAAGACCCTGCCTGAGTTGGCTTGGGGAGCTGCTGTGCGGTGGACAGAACTGAAGCAGACAAAGCCGGGCGCTGGTGGCTCCCGCCTGTAATCCTAGCTACTCAGGAGGCTGAGATCTGAGGATTGCGGTTCAAAGCCAGCCCGGGCAGGAGAGACTGTGAGACTCCTATCTCCAATAAACCACCACAAAACCGGAAGTGGCGCTGTAGCTCAAGTGGTAGAGCACTTGCCTTGAGCTGAAGAGCTGAGGGACAGCACCCAGGCCCAGAGTTCAAGCCCCACGGCCGACCAAAAAAAAAAAAAAAAAAGAAAGAACTGAGGCAGACATGCACGGTCCAGGTGGGAGGGATGCCTCCTCAGGCATTGGAAGGATGTGGGGAGAGGAAGCAGGACCATTGGCTTCAGCTCTGCCCTTTACTGGCTTTGTGGCCTCTGGCCTTGTCTCCCCCCCCCCCCCCCCCACCCCGCACCCGCTGCCTCTCTGCCTCTTGTCCTGTCAATGTGTCAGTGGGACCTGAGCCGCAGGGTAAGACTACCTCTCAACCTCTCAGCCCCCTGGGGTTCTCAGGCTGGTAAAGCACACAGAGGCGCTCGGGGTGCCAGCCATTGCTTTGTCTCTTCACACATGCCTTCTTCCCTCTGCGTGATCCTTCCTCAAAGGATGTTGGGAGATGCCAGCAAGAAGACGGCGGAGCCCCGAGTTGTCTCCCTCAAGAAGTCCCCACTGGAGCTTGGCGTGCACGTGTGTGGCGGGAACTTGCGCGGGGTGTTTGTGGCTGAGGTGGAGGATGACAGTGCTGCCCGAGGACCCGATGGCCTTGTGCCGGGAGACCTCATCCTCGAGGTAAGTCTGCTGCTTGGAAGGCCAGGCCCCATCTGCCCTCTTGCTTTGCCTCGTCGTCATCATCATGGTTGTCTAGTGACCCGTAAGTGTTGATGACTTGTCCTTGTAAACCTGCAAGGTTACCCGGTCCCTCAGGAGAGGCCACTGGGCAGCAAGCAGGCCGCCATGGCAGACTGAGGGCTCAGTCTCAGCTTGGGTCTCGGCCAGCCAGAAGGAAGTGTGCGTTATCATGAGCAGCAGGCCTTGGAGCTGGTGGGAGGGTGCCCTCTCCATCTCATTGAGGTGATGGCACAGAGGTGGCACAAATGCTGTTTTAAAAGCCCAGTGGAGGTGGAGCAGAGGCTCAGCAGGGGACCCAGAGGCCAGGAAACATGCACAGGGCTGGGGTGCTGGGGAGACCAGCAAGGATCCAGCCTTTTCTGTTGAGGTTGGGGAGGGTAGGCAGAGTCAGATCTGGGGATGTGGACTCTGCCTTGATGCCAAAACTGGCCACTCCCTTCTCATCCTGGGCCCCTGTCCTCGGTCAGTATGGCAACCAGGAGGTACGGAATAAGACTGTGGAGGAGGTGTATGTGGAGATGCTGAAGCCCAAAGATGGTGTCCGCCTGAAGGTGCAGTACCGCCCTGAGGAATTCGCCAGGATCAAGGGCCTCCCTGGAGACAGCTTCTACATCAGGTGCCAGTAGAGGGGATCTGCGGCCAGGGGAGGGGCCTCTGCTGGGGATGGTTCTGGTGACTGGATCCTCTGTGTTCCTTTGCCTCCAACGCTGGGCTAGCATCCACATTACTCATGTCTGAGGTGAGGTGCTTTTGACTTAGGAATATCCTGAGGGACATCCTTAGGGGACCACACGGACTCCCTCTCTGGGGTTTAGGGCTGTGGAGTTGTCATCTCCATTCACCAGTGTCTTCAGAGTTCTCTGCGGTGGATGTGGATTTCAGTTGCCTACTGTGCCTCTAAGTATCAGGAGACCCCGGCACATGTAGACAACATCAGGCATCCTCTAGAGTGGGCGTGGAGCTGCGCCGATGCTCCCTGAGGTGGCTTTGCGACAGCAGAACGGATGGGAGCGGCGATAGGGGTGGGCGTCAATGTTTCCATCTTAGGGTGGCCCGCCTGTCACAGGGTCTGGGGGCCTTCGCTTCTGTGGATGGGAAAGGCTTATTTGAAGTGAGCCCACAGTATTAGGGAAGGAACTGGAATGCCTGTGTCTTATTCAGTAAAGCATGGGACTCCCTCTTTTAAAAACCATCCAAAGGATGGAGATCTTGTGTTGGTGACTGGGGACAGCCTGGAACCTACTAGTAGCAGACCTAGCAGCCTGTCTGCCTAAGGCTGTTTCCTCGGCAGCCTGTGCCCTCCTGATAGAATGCCCTCTGTCCCATGGTACAGGGCCCTGTATGACCGGCTGGCAGAGGTGGAGCCTGAGCTGAGTTTTAAGAAAGATGACATCCTCTATGTGGATGACACCTTGCCCCAGGGCACGTTTGGGTCCTGGATGGCTTGGCAGCTGGATGAAAATGCCCAGAAGATCCAGCGCGGACAGATTCCCAGCAAATATGTGTAAGTGTTCTGCCTTTCGGAGGCGGGCGAGGCTGAGCCTGTCTGCTGGGGAACTCTCTGTTGCTCACTCAACTTCAGGGTTGTACCTGTTGCTAAAATCAATTGTCTAGGAGCTAGGCTGAAGTGATGTGTAGAAGCCTGGGAGCAAGTAGGAGTATGACTTTATTTTTTCCAACAGAGCTGAAGTTCTAGACCGTACACACGCCCCATGTACAATTCAGTGGTCTTTAGTATATTTATGGATATGTCAATTTCTGAGGTATTTCACTGCCTCCAAGAGAAACTCCATGCCCATTAGCGATTAGTCTATGTCAGTCTGTTTCCTTTTGCTATAACAAAGTACCGGAAGCAAGGAAATATACAAAGAAAACAAGTTTATTTAACTTTCACTTCTGGGTGCTGAGGGTGCATTATCGGGGCCCCATCTCATTGGCCTCTGGCAGGCCTCCTGGGCTGTCACGTTATGGTGGGACACAGAAGGAGCCTGGGGTTGGTGATGTAGTTTTTGGTAGAGCGTTAGCCAATGAGCAAAAGCATCAGGTACTAAGTTCGAATCCCAGTCTCGGACCTAAAAAAAAAGCAGGGAGTGGGGAGCCAACCTTGTGCAGATGGGAGAGGTCACTGGGCTGGAGAGGAAAAGGACACTCAAGTTTGCTCTTTCTATAGCAACCTACTCCTACGGGAACTGGGGCCCCATGAGGACTGTGTTAGTCTCTTCCAAGGGCAGGGCCTGTAGTGACCTCACCGTCTTCCACAGGGTACTACCTCTTAAAGCTTTCAGCCCCACATTGCCATAAAGGGGACTAAACTTTCAGCATCCAGCCTCTGGGGGACGCACTGACACCATAGCACACCCCTAGCCTGGCCCCGGTGGGTGCCCCTCCCCCCCACGCCCTGTGGCTGCCTGCTGCCCTGCCACCATTAGTTCCAGGAGGCTTGAAGGGAACACAGAGGCCTGTGTTCCCTCTGTGTTCCCTCCCTGTGTCTGCCTGGTGCTCCCCAGCACTGACATGTCCCGACCGCAGGATGGACCAGGAGTTCTCCAGGAGGCTCAGCATGTCTGAGGTGAAGGACGACAACGGCACTGCCAAGACGCTGTCGGCGGCCGCTCGCCGGTCCTTCTTCCGCCGGAAGCACAAGCACAAGCGCAGCGGGTCTAAAGACGGGAAGGACCTCCTGGCCCTGGACACCTTTTCTAATGACTCCCTTCCGCTCTTTGAAGGCAAGTGGCGGCAGAGCTTGTGTTGCTGTGGGATCCCGGGTTGGGGGTGCCGAGGCGTCACCGGGGGCTGAAGGATGTATTTGCCCACAAATCTGGAGGCGGGCCCTGAGAGACTTGACTTCTCTGCCATGTCCATGTCTCAGCTGGCGGGTGCTCTATGCGGGGCTTCGTCTGGGGACCCAGGTTCCTAATGTCTTAAGGCGCTGCCATCTCCTGAGGGTCATTCCCATCTCCATGGCTCAAAGCCAGTACCACTCAAATTCTGCCTCCTGGGTTAGGGGCCAAGGAAAGGATAAAAGTCTCTCCTGTTACTTCCTGGGCAGGCCTGGGCTACACGAGTATGCCTACCTGCAAGGGAAGCTATGGCACCTGAGGTTACATCCCTAGTAAGCAGAGGAAAAGGAGATGGGGCTGGATTGCAATGGGCGTAAGACACCTGAGGGAGGATTGAAGCCGAAGAAAGTGTATGATGACGAGCCTGTATCAGTTGGCTGCCGTGTCTGCAGAGGCAGGCTAAGCCTGCACCTGACTCCATGACTGTTGGTGCCCACGGGTGCCTGCCACTTGGGACTTCATTGCTAAAGCCAGGGAGGTCCCAGGAAGGGCCTGGAGCTGCTCATTCTCTTGGCTCTGATTTGTGGCGTGAAAAGGGTGAGCAAGCTCAGGGAGCACAGGTGCCCAGGCCTCCAGTTACTGCCCAGGCTGAGCCCAGGACACATGTGTCTTTGCCTCCCAGACTCGGTGAGCCTGGCCTATCAGCGGGTCCAGAAGGTAGACTGCACCTCGCTGAGGCCAGTCCTGATTCTGGGGCCATTACTGGATGTGGTGAAGGAGATGCTGGTGAACGAGGCACCTGGCAAGTTCTGCAGATGCCCGCTTGGTAAGGGAGCCCTCTTGTGCCTACTGGACTGTCTCCCTACCTACCTGCCTCCCTGCTCATGGACAGTGGACCATGAACACAGCATTTCATGGCCCTGTTCACTTGGGACAGAGACATTTGAGGTCTCCAGCTCTCTCTGGGAGAGAAGACAATGTGGACCCCACATCGCCAAGTCCCTCTCCTCCCTGCTCCGTCTGGCCTTCACAGGCCCAGGGCCTGACTTTTGCCTCTGTGCCCTGCAGAGGTGATGAAGGCCTCCCAGCAGGCCATAGAGCGGGGTGTCAAGGACTGTCTGTTTGTTGACTACAAGCGGAGGAGCGGCCATTTTGATGTGACCACCGTGGCTTCAATAAAGGAGATCACAGAAAAGGTACCCATGGCTTTAGCCTGAGAGCTAGCTCTCCTCACTGCCACATGACCCTGCTTTTATAACTAGCACTTGGACCACCCTCCCTCCTCTCCCCCCCTCCCCCGCCCCATGGGCATGGGATCTACCTGCACCTCGTGGTACCTGCTGCCTCTCCCTGCTGAGGGCATCCGAAGAGAGCTTTGGCCCTCAAGGGCAATCTGGGACAAGTCCCTGAGAGTGTGCTGAACTCATGGGCACCGTTCGTGAGGACAGGCCCCCCCCCCCCCACACACACCTCTGTAAGGACTGATGGTGTCTTGTGATGCCTTCGATGGCAGAAAGGAGCAGCAGCTGCAAGTACACTTGGGAAGCCGCTGCTTGGAAAGCCAAGGAGCTGGCCTTCCTCAGGCCCTGGCCCTAGGCTGCTCTGTTTGCCTCTTTGGGCTTAAATTTTCTTCTCTGTTAGACCAAAGTGTTGGTTGTCATAGTGGCAGGTACTTATTATGCAGCTGAAGTGGATGAACTCCCTCCGGTTGGGGAGCCTTCCTCAGGGAAGCTTTTGTGGGTCCAGGACAGTGGTGGGCAGGATGCCCCTGGGTGTGTGTGTGTGTTTGGTGTGCACTCTGCCTAGTGTGTAATGGAGCCCATGGATGGTATGGCAGTCCTAGTCATGCACATGCTCCCCTCCTCTGCCACGGGCCCCACGCATCCCTAACCAGCTCCTCCATCTGGCAGAATAATGGTCGTGAAGCCAGGTAGGGCTGCGTGGAAGAAGAGGCAGGATGAGATGTGGAGTCGAAGCTGGCTAGACCCCACTCACCGGCTGCCAGCTGTTGGGGCAAATGGTGGTGTGGGAGAGGGCAGGATGCCCTGGAGAAGGCCTCCCCCCTCTTGTCTGTGGGGACCTTTGTGAAGGCGGAGCTGTATGGGACAACAAGGGGGGGGGTGTCTCCTTGGTGGCAGAAGAGGGGTCTCCGCAAGGGCTAGTCACCCTCACCTGCTCTCCAGTGCTTACTCTGTGCCCTGCTCCCCAGAACCGGCACTGCCTCCTGGACATTGCTCCACACGCCATCGAGCGTCTGCATCATATGCACATCTACCCCATCGTCATCTTCATCCACTATAAGAGCGCCAAGCACATCAAGTAGGTGTCTTGTCCTCTCCAGCGTGGGGTTGGGGCCCAGCGGGGTAGGGGTGAAGAACGGGAGCACCCATCTTCCCTTCCAGCCCATACCCATGGTCAGAGGCAGCATGAACTACCCATGGTGTCACTGTAACTCCCAAGCCTGGCCAGCTTTGCCTATGTAGCTCTTCTCTTGCCTGAGGTCAGCATAGTGATGGGTGACCTGCTAAGTCCAGCTCGCCCATGCTCACTGAGGCCCCTCTTTCCTCTTGGCCGTTCTGTGCCTCTGGGTTCCCCATCTTCTCAGAGCACCCCCCAGAGGGCCTGAGGCTATTGCTTTATGGGGCACACCCAGGGTCTCTGACCACAGCCTAGGCTCCCTCCCTCCCTTCCCCTTTGGAAGGCCCTGGCTGTGGGTGGTCCAAGGAAGGGGAGAGGAGGACCTGGGAGGCACCGAGTTCAGCCAGGTCCCCCGCCCTCCGCTGTCCTGACAGGGAGCAGAGAGACCCTGTCTACCTAAGGGACAAGGTGACGCAGAGGCATTCCAAAGAGCAGTTTGAGACAGCTCAGAAGATCGAGCAGGAGTACAGCAGGTACTTCACAGGTAGGTGCTCAGGGCCTGGACAGGACATGGAAATAGAGCTCCTTGGAGGGGGACAGTGCTGTGCTATGTCCTTTTGTTACAAGTGAACCACTGCCCTGAAGCCCCAGGCCACTGTCAGCGTTTCTCTAGGCCACAGGGTTAAGCTCACCAGCACCTTTGGACATCATTTTGACATACATGTGCTATGGCCCTGTCTCTCAGCAGCACTGGGCAGTGTCCCCCACTCGACAGAAATCCGCAAGGCCCTCAGGGAGCTAGCAGTGTAGGCGGCCATCTGTCCCCAGCAACCCCCTAGGGCAGGCCACTTGCCGCGGGGTTTACTGAGAAAAAAAAAAAAAAAATTCACGGCTGAGACACCCTAGACGTGTGGCTGCAGTGTACCTGCCACGTTTCACCTCTAGGCTTCCAATTTCATGGGTTGACCCAGCCAGGTGTAGGGGCCAGGGCAGTTGCAGAGGGGATGGGCTACAGTTGCAGCCACATCACGGGGAGCACAGCATGTCTGCTTGATCAGATTGCTCCTGTGAGCACCACTTTGTCTTTTCCTTTCTGGCTCACCACTGAAACCAATGGAGAAATGAAATTTTTTTTAAGTGCTTGCTGCCACCTTGTGACCCGGTCTCCTTTATGGGGGTCACACCCGGAGCGGCATGGCCTGGTGTCCTCCCATGTGGGTGTCAGTGCTCACCTTTGCTCCACCGGCCCCTGGGCTGAGGACTCCCCCTTCCTTAGATCCCTCCTGACGTGGGATCATGTTGCGGGACCTGCTGCCGGCCAGGCCTTCACCGAGTGCCCACACACCACTGTCTTGCCTGCTGCCCCATCCTCGGTCCTTGCCATGTGCCGAGGCCCCGCCCCCACCAAAGTATCATCCTGATGTTGGTGGAGGTTTCTCCAGGGGGCAGTTTTCCTCTACTTGCTTTGCCCCATTCCCCAGGGAGGGAAGAGAGCTAGCGGGGTGGGGCAGAGATGCCACATGGTTTGCAGATAGGCAAGTGCTAGAGCACAACCCAAGGGTCTTTACTGGGAACCTTTACATGGAACTAAGTGGTCCATGTGTGTCTGTGGGGGTGGGGCTCTTCTGCAGGAGTCGTCCAGGGAGGGGCCCTGTCCAGCATCTGCGCCCAGATCTTGGCAATGGTCAGCCAAGAACAAAGCAAAGTCCTGTGGATCCCTGCCTGCCCACTCTAGAAGGCCGTGCCAGGAGGCAACTCGGCCAGCCTGATGGTGGGGAGACCTGGCTCCCTCTTCTCCAGTGACTGAAGACAGATGCTTGTCTGTCTACGGATCGGCCAGGAAGGATCCGGAACCAGGACTCCAGAAGCACCTCCCTCACAGACGGAGGGTAGCAGCCACACCACAGGGATTCTGGCCCAGGCCAGCAGGCTGCTCCTCCCAAGAGTGCTTTATACAGACACTTGACACAGGGGTTCAACGCCCACCTTCCTATAGCCAGCCGACCAGAGATGCTGCACAGAGAACCTTCAGATCACAAGTTTACAAGCCTTTTCTAAGTATTTGGTTGTTTATGTTTACTTGAATGGCTCCATGCTGTGGGTGCCCAGCCCCTGCCCTACCCCCACCCCTGCTCAGCCCTCTGTTGCTTTTGTTTTGGTTTTGTTCTACAAAATGTCCCTGGAACCTCCTGGGGGGCGGGGGAGGGAGGGCGGGGAGGGCGTGGAAGTGGGGGCACCTTACTTCCGGAGGTTCTTGTTGGTGGGACCAGAGCTGTGGCAGACCTCACCTCCTGGAGGGAACATGGTGGCTGAAGGTGCTCAGATCGCCCACTGGTGGGGGAGGATCAGTGCCTTGTGGGGCCAGCTCACTGTAGCAGCATTTTCCTCCCACGACACCAACCCATGCTGGACTGGGGCGGAGGGGAGGCACCTTTGGCACTCTGACACCCTCGCCTTTCCTCCTGCCTCTCCGGGGCTTCCCCAGCTGTGGTTATTGTCCAAGCCTTGCGGGCCCCTGATGCCGGGGCCTTATGGCTTCTCAGCAGCACAGCTGGGTCATGGGCAGGTGCCTGCCACGTTCCACCCAGGTTCCATAAGCCCTGACACCCTAAACAGTGCAATGTGGGCGGGGTCGTCCTGGCTCTGTACAGCATAGAAGGTACATTGTTCTTTGGTATGAATCCACTCAAGTTTCAGACTCTGAAATGAGAGCTTCTTAGGGGAAACGTAATGGCCAAGAGCCTAATAGAAAAATCTTGGAAGAATACCCAGGACCTCAGCCTTCATCTTGGTTATAGTGCTCACAGAATGAGCCTGACTCTGAGGATGTCTGCAGTCTTTATTGAATTGGTTTCTCTTTTTTTCCTTTTTCTTTCTTTTTTTTTGTTTGTTTGCACTTCTGACGCCAGATACTCTTTCTTGGCTGAAGATTTGCTGTGGTTCCTCCTTAAACTTTGTGTCTTGCTAATAGGTACTGTAAGCGGCTCCAAGCATCATTGGGGGGAGGGGGTAGGACCTATATTTTAATACTGTTCCTAACATTTCATTTTACTAGCAAGAAATCTTTGATTTCATTTTATTCTTTGTACTTTTAGACACTAGATTATAGTTTAGCCATTACTGACACTTTTTTTTTTTTTAAAAAAAGGGATATATTTTCTTGCACAATTGCTCAAAAAAAAAAAAAAAAAGACAAGTTTCAGTCCTCAGTGCTGTCCTTTGTTTTTTACAGGTACAAGATTTTTTAGCTCAGACAAGTGAACTGTATGCCACTCTGAGCGCGGGGCTGTTTTGTAGGCGGCAGGCTGAGCCGGGGCGGGGATGGCAGCCAGGCAGGTACGGATCTGACCGATGGATGTCCTGTGTCCTGTACTAAGATGTTACTTTGTATCAAAAGGTAAACAGACCAGTACAACAAATAAAGGTCAACGTCTGTAATCTGTCTGTGTGTGATACCTGAGTGCTGCTGGCTGGCATCTGCGTCTTTTCTTCCTGAGCCGCCTCCATTCCTTAGCTTTCCATTGGTCCTTTCTCTTCCTGCCTCCTCCTCTGCAGTGTGGGCAGAGGTCTTTGCTTGCTCTTGTGAGAATATAGATTCCATTACCTTCTGCCTCTGTTGCATGGGGCAGTGGTTGCAGCTGGGCAGCTCTGGATCCCTGATCAGGCCTGCCTGCAAGTGTGGGCTGGGTTGTGAGATACCCCAAGCAGTGAGCTGAGCACTTGGGATCTCCGAGTGTCCTTAGCCAGGGCTTTGTCCAGGATTGCAGTGAGAAGGGGCCCATGTGGCACGAGATCCTGGGGTCATAGGGTCATGTTCTACATTTTCTGTGTCTTCTGTAGGTAACCGTTTTCTTTCATAACCATGAGAGAAAATATTCGCACACACTCTAACTTGGACAATTATATTACTGAGATTGTAGACCATTGATCCTTACATGCATGGAGGCCTTGCAGGGAAGCCTCTGGAATATTATACAGAGCAGTCCCTAGAAGGGGACCATTCTCCTTACCAGACTCACCTCCTACACTGGGGTTGGGGGCACAGCTGTGGGGGGGGTGGTTCCTCTGCCCAGGTGATGTTTGGCCACAAAGGCTCGGATCATGCTAGAAGGACAAAGCAGACTTGATGGCACGTTCTCAGCCTTGGTATTTGTGAAATCACTAAGGTACTTTTTTGTGTGTGCCAGCTTCTGTGATTCTGCAGTGGACGTCGAGGATGAGTACTTGCCTCGTGGAGCCAAAGCACATCTCACTGCAAGGCTGAGGGAGGAGGCTTGAGGCCCAGGGGGCAGGAACCAAGCATGAAGCATGTCTGGGGTAGGAGCCATGTGCCAGCTGGAAAGCAGCTTTGGGCCTCTCTTCCTGGCCAAGCCATGATGTTCACAGCACAAGCAGGCAGGGTGCAAGTTTGCTCTGGGAAGGGCCACTGCCTTTGGGGTTTATGGGACCAGAGGGTCACTTGAGTCATGGATGTCAAAGATGAAGGAAACAAAGGGAAATGCAGGGTGAGGGTACAGAGGGCATGAACAGCTCAGGAGAGCTCAGGCTGGCATGGGGAGGGAAGGTTCTAGGAACCAAGGCAGGATCCTGGCAGACCTGGCCCTTCCCCACTGCCCTTTCCCCCCCCCCTGGCTTTTTGGGCCTCTAACTCATCTCAGCTGTCCTTGCTCTTTCGTTAGCCCTCACCATCCTGCAAACGGGCTCTGCCCTCTTGTGTCCCCCCCCCCCCCCAATCATATCTTGATTCTTGCTACTATTTCTCTTTTTTTTTCTATTCTCAATGTGAAATTTTGTCATCCATTCCATTTAGAATAGCAAACACAAACATACAGCTTAAAAAAATAGCGCATACATCTTTAAGGAACCCAGCTCCAAGCCTCCCCTTGAACCCCTCGGGTGCCCACCACCCAGTTGAATTCCCTCCTCACCCTCACCAAAGTAAGAACAAGAGGAATTTGTAATTTAATCACTTCTTTGCTGGCCATGGTAGCACATGCTGATAATAACTAGGTAGGGGAGCACGAGGATCACGAGTTCGAGACCAGCCTGGGCAACGCCTTAAATTTTTTTTTTTCTTGCCTTTGTGTGTAGTTAAGACTTCCAATGGGGGCATCCATCTTCAAATAACCGACTGTGCACTTTTGGAAGCACAAATTTCAGTTCTGGGGAAGGCATGGTGTCACCAGGGCTGGTAAGGAGGGAGGGATCTCCACAGCCCCCGGCCCAGCCGTGACAGAAGGGGCTTCCTCTCTCTTTCTCAGGGACTCATCAGCTCCTAGAGCCTTTCAACAGTTGGCGGAGGCCCATTGGATGGTCCTCAAGGCTCCCTCTCAGTGCCGATGGAGTAGGGGATTCAATTGTAACTGCACAGAAACCTTCCTAGTTTGACATGCAGTTTAGTAACTGGCTGGTGACTAAGCCAAGTTGAGATGTGAAAAGCCCATCACAGTGGGATCTCCCTGTAACTTTAACCATTTTCCTAACATGGCCATCCTGAAAACAGGCTCTGGCCTCTTGTGTTCCCTCTTCACCCCCCAATCATATCTCGATTCTTGCTACTATTTTTGTCTTTTTTTTTTTTTCTTTTCTTAGTGTGAAATTCTGTCATCCATTCCATTTAGAATAGCAAATACAAACATACATACAGCTTAAAAAAATAGTGCATACTATATACTGCATTTCCCATAACTTAACAATTTTATAGGCTTATCTTTGAGAAGCAATGTTTATAGGCTTATCTTTGAGAAGCTTCTATAGAGAGTTCATGGTTTATATATAAGGAGACATCCAGACTTTATGGTGGGGAGTGGTTAAAGAAGCTTGCCCTTGTCTCCGAACTCCTGGCCGTCATCTCACTGAGCAATCTTGCTCTGAGGAAGTAAGTTGTGGGGGCCACTCTAATCTCCCCACATTGTGACCCTAAGAATGGACAGAGGATGTGACAGCTAAGTGACTGTGAGGGTGGATGAAGGTGGCCGTGTGTCTGTGTGCATTCTAGAGGGGTGCACAGGCGATACCCCAAGCACATCCAGGCTGTGTAGCCGGTATCCATCCATCCTGCACTCCAGAATCCAAATTAAGAGTGTCCTAGACTGCCTCTCCATGCAAAGGTAAAATAACAAGTATGTTACAATTCTCAAGTCTTTGTGACAGCTTTTAAAAAAGATTAACATTATCTACTAATAATTAGAATGGAGGTCATAAACACTTAACCTCTGTAATGTTAACAGCTTATTTTTCTCTTGAAGTTTGGGTTCTATATTTTTGTTAATGTATTTTATAATTTCTTAGAAACCAATTACATATTTTCCCCCTCATCACATCCTACTGTATGGTTTTTTACAGCATAAAGGCCTGATCCAAGTAGGTGTTAGCCTTCCTCCAGAGGTCATCTTCTCCCAGGCCTACACACTATCTGATTTAAAGCAGAAATTGCCAAAGCCCAGTCTGTGCAGTATGTGTCCGTGCACACAGCTTTAAGGATCAGAAGACAGTCTCCCTATCTCAGGGGAGAGCCCCACTGGTTGGTGACATGCACAGAGGAACATGAGAAGGGCTTGTGTTGCGGGCGGGGGGGGGGGGGGGTCGGACATCTCCAGGTCTCCTCCCTCCAATTTCCACAGCAATTCGAGGGGGAGGGGGCTCAGGTACGGGGAGCAGTGCCAGAGCAGGGCTTGCTCCTGACCCACACTGATGCTTCACTCCTCTACTCCTGAACTTGAATTTTCTGTGGTTTGTACACACGTTCAATCCTGCTGGTATTGATGGGTCAAGGGTTACCACTCACTCGGCAAAAGCTGGCTTCACCTCTCACCCACAGGGCGCTTGGAATGATAAGATGGCTGCAAACAGGGTTGTGACAGCAGACAGACATGGCCCCGAGGCAGTCTATCATTGTTGGGTCTAGGGATTATATAGTTGATGATTGGTTACATTTAAAGAAGGCTTTTTTTTTAGGGGGGAGGGTAGGTGGGAGGTTAGGACTCAAACGCAGTACATGATGCTTCTTGGCAGGTGCCCTGCCACCTGAGCCATGCCTCTAACCCTGAAGTTACATTCTTTAGCTTGCCTGCCCATGGGTGGCACCTGATCAGTGCCAAAATTAGGGTCATCATAACAGCATTCTGGCTCCCAGGGAAGAACAAACAGAGCATGTCAAGCTGGTGGCTCTGTGGACCCTGGGACTA